CAGGGATCAGTTCTAGGTCCGGTTCTGTTCAATATCTTCATCAATGATTTAGATAATGGCATAGAGAGTACACTTATAACATTTACAGACGATACCAAGCTAGGAGGGGTTGCAAGTGCTTTGGAAGATAGGATTAAAATTCAAAATGATCTGGAGAAATGGTATGAAGTAAATAGGATGAAATTCAATAAGGACAAATGCAAAGTACTCCACTTAGGAAGGAACAATCAGTTGCATACACACAAAATGGGAAATGACTGCCTAGGACAGAGTATTGCGGAAAGAGATCTGGGGATCATAGTGGATCACAAGCTAAATATGAATCAACAGTGTAACGCTGTTGCAAAAAAAGCAAACATAATTCTGGGATGTATTAGCAGGAGTATTTAAGCAAGACACGAGAAGTAATTCTTCCACTCTACTCCACGCTGATGAGGCTTCAACTGGAGTATTGTGTCCAGTTCTGGGTGCCACATATCAGGAAAGATGTGGACAAATTGGAGAAAGTCCAGAGAAGAGCAACAAAAATGATTAAAGGTCTAGAAAACATGACCTGTGAGGGAAGATTGAAAAAATTGGGTTTGTTTAGTCTGGAGAAGAGAAGACGGAGAGGGGACAAGATAACAGTTTTCAAGTACATAAAAGTTGTTACAAAATTGTTCTTCTTAACCTCTGAGGATAGGACAAGAAGCAATGGGCTTAAATTGCAGCAAGGGCGGTTTAGGTTGGACATTAGGAAAAACTTCCTAACTGTCAGGGTGGTTAAGCACTGGAATAAATTGCCTAGTGAGGCTGTGGAATCTCCATCATTGGGGATTTTTAAGAGCAGGTTGGACTCACACCTGTCAGGGATGGTCTAGAACAGGGGTCTCAAACACAAGGCCCGCGGAGTTATTTCCTGCAGCCCAACATAGCTCCCCTTGCCCCCCTGCCTCTGCCCCCACGAGCGCACCGCGTCCCCGCTCCTCTGCCTACCTCCCAGCGTGTCCCACTGCCAAACAGCTGTTTGGCGGCGCTTAGGACTTTCCAGGAGGGAGGGGGGAGGAGTGGGGCGCTCAGGGGAGGAGGCGGAGAAGAGGCGGGGGCGGGGATTTGGGGAAGGGGTTTGAATGGGGGCAGGGAAGGGATGGGAAGAGGCAGGATAGGGCCTCATGGAAGGAGTGGAGTGGGGGCGGGGCCAGGGACAGAGGTGGGGGCTTTTGTATCTTTGTATGAAAAGGTGTCAGTGATGCAGCCCTTGGGCCAATGTACTAGTCCTCATGTGGCACTCATGGTGATTTGAGGTTGAGATCCTTGGTCTAGACAATAATTAGTCCTGCCTTGAGTGCAGGGGACTGGAGTAGATGACCTCTCGAGGTCCCTTCCAGTTCTATGATTCTAAGACAGAAAATATCATATTGCCTCTATATAAATCCATGGTATGCCCACATCTTGAATACTGCATGCAGATGTGTCGTCCCATCTCAAAAAAGATATATTGGAATTGGAAAAGGTTCATAAAAGAGCAACAAAAATTATTAGGGATATGGAACGGCTTCCATATGCGGACAGATTAATAAGGCTGAGACTTTTCAGCTTGGAAAAGAGACGACTAAGGGGGGATATGATTGAGGTCTATAAAACCATGACTGGTGTGGAGAAAGTGAATAAGGAATTGTTATTTACTCCTTCCCATAACACAAGAACTAGAGGTCACCAAATGAAATTAATAGGCAGCAGGTTTAAAACAAACAAAAGGAAGTATTTCTTCACACAATGCACAGTGAAACTGTGGAACTCCTTGCCAGAGCATGTTATAAAGGCCAAGACTATAACAGGGTTCAAAAAAGAACTAGATAAATTCATGGAGGATAGGTCCATCAATGGCTATTAGCCAGGATGGGTAGGGATGCTGTCCTTAGCCGCTCTTTGCCAGAAGCTGGGAATGGGCGACAGGGGATGGATCACTTGATGATTACCTGTTCTGTTCATTCCCTCTGGGGCACCTGGCATTGACCACTGTTGGAAGACAGGATACAGGGCTAGGTGGACCTTTGGTCTGATCCACTATGGCCATTCTCATGTTCTTAACTAGAAGGATATGTAACTCTGGAACAAGCTTCCAAGAGAGGTTGTGGAATTTCCATCATTAGAGGTTTTTAAGAACAGGTTGGAAAAACACCTATCAGGGACAGTCTAAGGTTTACTTGGTCCTGAGGCTGAACTTAATGTCCTCTCGAGGTCCCTTCCAGCCCTACATTTCTATGATGGCTGATAGTCCATCTGAGGCGGAGGGCACTGCACACCATTGGGTTCTTTATGATTACTACTTATTGCGGTAGCGCCTAGCAAATTTATTTCAGGGGCAGCCTGGCCAAACCAGAGCAGCACGACGACCCCACAAACGAAGTCACAAAACCACTTACTCAAATTTGGCATGGTCAAACCTGAGTGCCACTGTGACCCACTGGTCACCCAGGAGCCAACGACAGGTTAATCTGGCGTTCAGCAGAGGTCAACTACATTACCCAGAATCTTGTGCATCAGCCATACACGAGCATCAGTGTCTCTCACTCTGTCCCAGAGAGAGAGAGAGAGAGAGAGAGGCTAATGCACATGTGTGGCTGATGCATATGTAGCTGCAGGAAATAACATTATTAAATTGGGAGTCTCCCTGACATGCTGGGAAACTTGGTCAGTATGGCGCCTAGGAGCCACTGTCATAGGCTAGGACTTCATTGTGCTGGGCGCTGCACAAACACAGAACACAAAGACGGTCCCTCCCCAAAGAGCTCACAGTCCCAGCTGCCTGCCAGAGCCACGGCCCTGCCTGCTGAGCTCACTGCCAGCAGATACCTTTCCCTTGGGGGAGGGGAGGAGAAGCGCTGGTGCAGTCTGTAGCCGGGCCTGCTCCCCCCACAACCCACTCACCCTGTGAGCTCTGGGCAGGGACAGCAATGTCCTTTCTGCACGTAAAGGGCTGGATTGTGCAGCCCTTGCTCAGGGTGGTGAGCATTTACTGACATGGACAGTCCCATTGATAGCTGTGGGGTACTCAGTGCTCACAGGGAGCAGGGGCTGCAAAATCCAGCTCTCAGACTCTATGGAAGCAGCAAGATCTCAGCTCTCCTTGCTGCACGTGCTCCTTACACCTAGGGTGACCGGCTGTCCCGATTTTATAGGGACAGTCCCGATTTTTGGGTCTTTTTCTTATACAGGTTCCTATTATCCCCCACCCTCTGTCCCGATTTTTCACACTTGCTGTCTGGTCACCCTACTTACACCCTCTCCCCACAAGGCGTCAGTAACACAGCTCTTCAAGGGGGTGTTTTCAGCAACTGTTGTGATGCTGCAGACTTGGCTTGAAACTACTGAAATTCAGGTGGGGACCTCAAAATCTAACCTGACTGCAGGAAGGCATTGATATGTCACTTACTCCTGTATTTCTTTTACAGCCAGGTCAGGAGAATGGGGTTGGTTTGTTTACAGTAAATGTGGGTGAGCAGGAGCTTGTGCTCCAGTTCAGAGCATGGTGCTGTTCTAAGGAAAGGGACCTGCCGGTGTAACCCACCCTTACCCCATGTGGCTCTGTCCCCCTCTAGTGGCAGGATCATATACAGGTTTGAATCAGCTACAGTCTTGAGCTGGGTGCTGTAGTTCAGGCAGTAAAAAGGCCTGTGTTCTACGATACTGAGCTCTCAGGGCTTCGCTCACTACCAATGACCCTGCCCCCTCCCCCTCGGGATATCCCATTACACCAGCCCTATTGCATTTGTAACATGCCAGAATGAATAGGCTGAGAAAATCGCTTTTTCCCAAATAGTAACTAATTTAAAAAGCTAAAAATTGAAATTCAAAATTAATTTGAAAATCAAAATTATTCTGAAAGCTGCCTTGATGTGTCCCCCAGAACCAAAGCCCTGTCTGTGGGATCTCTAGGACTGTGCACAGAACTGGACATGTTTAAAAAGCTTTACTAACCCAAAGCTCCACAGAACTTGCTTCTATTCCCATCCATCTGTCTTTCATCTGGAATGGATTACTTAGGGAGGTGGTGGAATCTCCATCCTTCGAGGTTTTTAAGGCCCAGTGTGACAAAGCCCTGGCTGGGATGATTTAGTTGGTGTTGGTCCTGCTTTGAGCAGGGGGTTGGACTAGATGACCTCCAGAGGTCCCTTCCAACCCTGATATTCTATGATTCTATCTTCCTTAGTCTCATTTTCTCTCGTCCTTCTCATTCTGTAGGACTTGTTCAAACCGTTTTTCTTTTCCCCTTCAGGCTTGTGGCCTAGACACTTTACAACACTCAAACTACATTTTACAGTACAAGCACTACAGCGGCACAGCTGCCGCTGTACCACTGTAATGTAGATACTTGGTACGGTGGTAGAAGGGTTTTTTCCGTCACTGCAGTAAATCCATCTCCTGGTAGCTAAGTGAATGGAATAATTCTATACTGGGACTTAGGTTGCTTAACTATGTCTCTCAGGGATGTGATTTTTTTCTCACCCCTAAGCAATGTAGGTAGATCAGCCTAAGTCTTAGGTGGAAGCCAGGCCTCACTGCTATCTGTACCTTTAAAACATTTGGCTGGGCGTTTGTGCAGATTATAAATGGTACTTTAGTACTTTTCTTTCTGTCCTTTCACTCTTTTCTTTGTCTGTTAGTCTTTGTCCCAGGATCAATCATGGTAATGGTTGTAAATTATTTGAGTACATGAGGGTTCCATTCATTAAATTGTGAAAGAATCCCAGACTTCTGTTTTCAGTCTTTCCTATTGAATAAAATAACATGCTGTTCTAATATGACAAAATGCTGCCTTTAATATGCACTGAATGCCACTATGTTATTCAGCTTTTCAAATAGCAAACTGCAGCCTATCACCAAAACCATGGAGAAAGAAGGACAACCAGTTCTTGGGTTAGGGGGCATGGAAAGAAACACTGTGATTCAAGTAAAAAGTCCTTAATCATGACCCCGAGTTAACACAAATGAATTAAAAGGACCCAGCAGTAACTTACAAGAAGTTCCGAAGATCACAGCTTACAAACCTCAGGCCACCACACAGTACCATTGCTCTTGAATCTCCTGCATTAAGATCGGCTATGATGTCATAACTCCACAATCTGCAGAAACCAAACATAGACCATGAGGAAACAATGCTTATTTTTACTCCATTCACTGCTGTCAGTGGTGTCTAAAAGGAGATTCTTTACCCGGCCATGCACAGATAAACCATAATGCTCCCATTGGCACGACAGGCCCCTGAGGGAATTCCTTTCCATGTGCACCTGTTGTGTCAGTTACTGGGTATTCTGCATGCAAATGTCCAGCTGAACTTAAGGGAAAGCTGAACTTTGGGAGTCCATTTCTAATGGGTTTGAGAATTCTAGTAATTTGCTGTAATGAGCTGCTGGTTCATTACTGGATACTCCCATCTTCTAGAACAAACGGGAGTGAAAGGCGTGGTTCACGGATGATGTACATGGGCACTAAATATGCCTTGAATATATTAACCACTATGATCACATCTCATTTCCAAATCAAGAGTCGATGAATGCTTTCCCCATCCTAACACAGAAAAACTTGCTGACAGCTATCTCTGTTTACCCCAAAAGAGTATTCCAATTCTAACTCCACCTAGAAAGCAGGACAATAGAAGGCCGATATTCCATTTTCAAGGTATCAGATAGGTTGTCTATAGAAAGCCAGATAAGTTGAAACTAGACTCTGAACTCTCCCAGGGATAAAACGGGAATGTTTACAAAAATTTCCTTCACTTTGCTTAAGTTTATAGATACATTAGCTTAAAGAAATTGACAAAGGTAAGTCAACTGAGGAACAGAGAAAACATTTTATAAATTTACAGATGAATGAAATTGCTTTTTTGGTGTAGCTAAAGAGGTCCACCCAAAGATTAAACACATTTATAGGAAAGAGCATGTAAAGCGTGACATATTAACTCATGGGACACAATCAAATCGTAGTGAAGTAGATCAGAGATAAGACTGGACACTGTAAATTTAAACTGGTTAGATCCACTGCTTGATCTACTTGAACTGAAGGTTCCATAAGTCACAATTCCTGAAACACTAAGAATCCAAAATGCATTTTCACCCCAAATTATAAACTGCACTTTATCTGCCTTATGAATCAGATACAGTCCCCCTCTACATGTGGATAATCTGTTTTATTCCTTTTTTTTTTTGTCTTTTATTTCACTGTAAGCCCCAAAAGCTATCAAATGAAATGTGCCAGAGAGAATAGAGAATATACAGAACATTTCTAATCAGTTCGGAGGAATTGTAAAAGATGTTGTTTGTTTTCCTTTTGACTGGTTGTTGCACTCTGAAATACTGTGATGAAACCACTCTGAAATACTGATATGAATAGTACAGCCCGAGAAAAAGATATTGACAGGGCTAAGCACCTGACATGTGTGTAGCTTTGGAATATTAACAGAACTGCTTAACAAGGGGAATTTTCATTAACAATGTGGGTCAATATAGAAAACAATCTTTGAAATTAATGAAACTTAAATATCCTCTGATGAGAAAGGACTCACAAACTTTATTACACAGTCACCAGCTACTGGGCGTGGACAGAAGTACCAGAGAAACTGGAGCAGCAGAAACCTGATGCCTATTGGCAAGTGTCAAATAGGAAGAGAAGAGGGCAGCCCCCTCCAACAATCCCTGAAAACTGTATAAAACCTAAGGACCACCTCAGAGGCTGCTTGATCCATTAAATATGATCAGACCTTCATGACGCTTCAGGTCACCCACCATGAACAGCACTCCCCTCCTCCAAGGGTTGCCAGGGTTAAGAAGAGATTGCAGTTCTCTTTGATTTATTCAAATTAAGGACACCTCTATACTTTCAACTTGTTGCTGGTTTTGCATATCCACGTCAGCTGATGGGCGATACCTGTTGCGCTATCAGATCGTACTGATAACACGTCTTTGTTATCCTGCAATCAAGTTAATGTTGCCTTGTTGATTTCCAGCCACACAAGGACAGCACTGTTTTGAAACGAGCACTCTACATTCAGGTCAGGCATTCAATGAGTCACTGCTCCCACCCCACTGTTCTTTATACATTCTGAGAATTTTCAATGCTCTGCACCGTGGGATTCCTACTGGAAGACAATGGCACCTTGGGGCTTGGAGACAAACTGAATAATTCCCATGATTCCTCCTGTTTCCTCCCATCATCCTCCTTGTTTCTGTAAGCCTGAGCCATTTTCAAAGCAAGCGCTGTCAGGCAGCATGGAGGAAATATTGGCATGCTCCGTGGTCCTCGGGGTGATAAGTATAAACAGGCTGCTGGAAACATATCTACAGTCGTGCAATGACTTCAGAACCTGGCTCTGTCCTCGGCTGCACTTGGTGCTTCTGAGGAGACTTGGAGGAGAAGTTTGCTCTAACCCACCTTTCTGCTCCTTGATCCTGGGGCAAAGTTGGGGCCTAAACAGCTTCCAGTCCAGCTTCCAGGAACCTCAGGGCTGCCCTAAGTTACCTCAGCTGCTGTGCTGGCCTACGGTCTGCTGAGGCACCTTGCACTCTGCCCCATCCTCTCGTCCCCTAATATCTGACTCCATACCACACATGCCCTATGCTAAGGGAGGGAGACAGAGTTGGCTATACCAGCTTTGCACCACCTGAGAATTACCCCAAGTCAGGGGATCCTTGGCTGCCCCTTTAGGGCAGCTGCCCAGTTGCTTTCCCTGCTCAACAAAGGCTGAGGCCAGAGCCCACTATGTTGTTCAGTTGTTTAACTAGTAAAATACAAGCAGTGAACACATCAGTGGGTCTCTGTTCTTCACCTGGGGAGCAGGGTGGGGCTGGTCCATGGCTGGGTTCCATGCCCTGAAGGATGTTGTGATCCTAGTATAAAGAGTAACTCAGCATTGCACTGTTAACAGGCACAGACTTTACTTACCCTAGTTTCTGTAGTTTACAGTTTGGATGTTTCAGCCCCTCACACAGCCGCTGCATGCCTGAAGCCCCCAATGAGTGGCCCCCTATATTTAGTTCTGTCAGGGTCTGGTTGGTGCTGAGAGCAGAGGCGAGATCCCCACAACAAGCTGCTGTGAGCTCACAGAGAGGCAAACTGCAGGAGACAGACATTTATAGAAAGCAGAACTACTTGTTTCTGCCCCATTTTTTGCATTTCCCCTCCTTGATACCGGTGTGTATCTCTAAAGTGATTTTAGTTCACAGACAAATATTGATTTTAGTTTAACTAATAGACACCTATAGAAAGCTTTAAAATATATAATTACATCAAGAACAACAACAGAAACTATGTTATAAGAACTTTAAGGCTGCAAAGTCAAGCATTCAAAAACATAGGGAATGCTAGACTTAGGTTTCCCTTGCAACTGAAATTCAGCCCCCTTGTTTGTTTGCATTATGACAATCTATAGTTACATGACCACATACTATTTTTTCTATAGCTCCTTGCCTGATCCAGCAGACAGGGTAGATGGTGCACTCTAAAGGAACAGCCATGCAAAATTTCTTTTTACCTGCATCATTCACTTTGTGGTCCCAGACCTTAATTCTGTACCAAATACAGAAATATTAATTTCCTCCTGGGCCTCTCTCTGGTGCTCTCACCATAGTATCTGAGTGCTTCACAAACACTAATGGATTATTTATCTTCACGACACTCCAGGACAGTAGGTGGTATTATCATCCTCGCTTTCTAGGCGGGGAGCTGAGGTACAGAGAGATTAAGCTAAAAAATGTCCACTAGTTCTGGGTATTCGAGACCCCTAGACCCTGGTCTTCCAGAATCCTTAACATTTTAATAGCACATTACATGTTCGAAGCACAGCTCCTCAGTTGCAGTCATGAGTGCTCAGCATTTCTGCAAATCAGATCCCAGGCATCTCAGTTTGGCACCCAGAAAGTGGCTAACTATGAACATTTTGGTTTAGGTGATTTGCCCAGCACCACGCAGACACTTCTTGGCAGAGGCAGGGAGCAGACTCCAGGGCAGCATTCAGTTGCCTTAATCCTTCTCTCTCTTCCTGCAATACCCAGCCTCATTCACTACCCACCTTCTGACTTCCGCAACAGATGAGGCAGTGGTCCTACAGACAATGGCCTCATTCACTACACAACCCTGATTCATCCGCAGAGTTCAGTCCACTGCTGTTCACTGACTTCCTTCCACAGGACCTCTGCCTCATAGCATGAAAACATATCATTAAAGACTGCATCTTAATGCACATGCCAGGGAGGGGGGGGGTGTCAAATTAGTTTTTCATGGGCAACCTTAAGTCTGATATTTCCTCATTTAAATGTTTGACTTAGCAATGGTAACATTCCTTTAACAGGTTTAATATAATTTCCTAATTTAAAAAAAAAACAAAAAAACCCACAATCCTGAACACAGTAAATCTATTACATGGAATCATAACTGACCCCCAAGCTGGGCCATCAGCAGTGTTTTCACCTTTAGAACTCCCCACAGAGCGCTATCACTTGAGCCTACGGACTAACTGGTAACAGTAGTAGGCTACTATCCTCTATGTGGATCAGGCACTAGAGGGAGATTAAATCCACTGGCAAAGCATGTGTCTCACAGCTATTGCAGGGTATGTCTACATAGTAAAAAAAAAAAAAGAGAATAAAAAGTGTGTTTTAACTCAGGTTAGCTGCCCCAGGTTAAAACAGAAGTGAAAACACAGCAACTCTGCTTTTAATTTAGGTTAGCATGTTAAATTAAAGTGTATAGGGGAGCCTGGGCTTTAACGTGAGCTGCTAACATGAGTTAGAAGCCATGTCTTCACTGCTGTTTTAACCTGAGTTAGCTAATGCAGGGTAGCTAACCCAAGAAAAGGACCCTGGTTTCTGTATGTGCGTGCAGCGTAAACATATCCTGAGAATTAAGCCGGTGGGAGCAGCTGCAGAAGCACTGGGTGGGAGGGGGTTAAATGGTGCCCGGTGAGGGCCACCCCTCTCCCACAGCACCCTGGACTCAGAACTGCCCATGGAGGCACTTGGGAGGCACTAGTACCCATGCAGCATCCTCCCTCACCTCACCATGTGGCCTTGGGGGAAAACTGCAGGGAGGTGTCAGCTGCAGACATAGCTGGGTCACACTTTTGGATACTGATGAGGTCAGAGCATTTTCTAATGTTCTGAATAGGAATTCGTTCATCTACGTGGTAACTTCTCCCTTCCTCCATTCCTCTCAGCATGGCTGTCCCACCAGCTCAGACTCCCTTTACACTCCCTCACACACACTTACCAAATGTGACCCCCCCGCCCCAATTCAATTCTGAATGTGGCTCAGTGAATCCAACTGAGCATAAGGGAGTCAAACTGAATCAGGCCTGCTGTAACCAAGGGACCAGATCAGAGGACTTGAGGAAGGGGGGGCAGGTTCTGTCCAGCCTACGCAGGAGAAGAGGATTCCAGTGCTCCAGTTCTGGGGACGCTGCAGTTCTAAGGGGAGGGACATGGTAGCCATGTTACCTTTATGTCAAGACCCAAAGAAGAGACTTGGGGAAATAACTCGCTCCTAAAATCTACACAGCCACAATTTAAATCATTGCAAAATCTTCCCTTGTTCTTTCCCTCTTCCTTACCCGCCACCCCTCCTTTTTTCTCCCACATTTCTTTGTCTAGTTGCTAAGCTTTTTCCCAGGGTTAGTTCTTGTGATGGTGGTAAAGGATTTGAATGGAGGAGCATTCACAGCAGGGCTGTGACCCTAGTAGAAAGCACTGAACTCACAGTAGTGCAATGTTCAGCGGCACAGAGTACAGGGAGCCAGCTGTTACTTACTTTAATATCTGCAGTCTGCAGTTGGGATGTTTCAGTCCCTCACACAGCAGCTGCACTCCTGGATCTCCCACTTTGTTATACCCCAAGACTAGCTCTGTCAAGGTCTGGCTGGTGCTGAGAACCGAAGAGAGAGCCCCACAACAAGCGTCAGTGAGATTGCACCGGTTCAAACTGTAGGAGATGGAAAACAGCAAGGAAGATAATCACTTGTTTCCTCCCTATTTGTTGAGATTCTCTCGGTGATGTCAGTGTCTCTGTGGAAGGGGATGGTTCATTCAGAAGAGATCAGTCACAGGGCTCTAGCAGGAGGCTGCGGGATGTCGGCACCAAAGGCCCCTGTGTGGATTTCTGCCCCTGCTCTGTCAGTCACCCCGTGCTCCAGAAGGGAATGTTCAGATGAGCTGAAGGGAGGGAAGCAGAGTGTGTGTGTGTGTGGTTGGGGGGGAGGTGTCTGTAATGAACTGGAGAATCCTAACACCAGGCACTGAGGAACAGTGCAAACCCTTTCCCAGTGCTGGTACTCTGCTTCCTTTCTGCTTATGCAAATGAAATCTAAAGCTTCTGTAAAAGCCCCTCTGCCTTCCCCAAACCATTCCTCAGTGTCTAGAACTATCAGCCCTGCCTGTGGGAGCCAAAACCCTTCCAAACTGGAAGACGAGTTACATGAGTTCTCTCCTAGTCAGACTCCCAGCTATGCATATGGCTAATGATAGAATCCTTGACCCCCACCATACTCCCAGCCCATCTGTTTAGCACAGCTGGGTTCCCTGCTACCAGAGGGACCTTCTGGGTGTGTGAGAAAAGACCTTCCTCCCCTCCCTGTATCAGACCCACTTACACGGGCTAGAGGGGGCGTCTACAGAGGTTGTAAAATGAAGGGACTCACAGTTAATATGTTACATAGCTGGGACACGTGATCTTAGGGACCAAGTAAGTGATCCCCCAGATAAACTGCATGTTGTTGTGCTGGCTCCTCAATCAAAGCACATCTGAATGGAGCATGTTTCTTGGCCTGGTGAATTACTATGGGAGTTTGGTGGTGGTGGCTAAACCCTTTATTAAAGTTGCTACATATGAAAGAAGCCTGGGCCTGGATCACAGAATGTATTATTGGGACATCTTGGGACACTCAGTTAAGATCGCTGAGCCTCAACTTCCCTCATCAGTGAAATGGGGATAATAACTAGAGCTGGCTGAAGTTTTGGGGGTGAATAGTCTATTCACCAAAAGAGACAGGTTTGGGGCGACCCAAAACTATTCATGAATTTGGCACAGATTTGCTGAACAGTTTTGGCCAACATTTTTTTCAGGGCTAGATTCACGAACAAGAAGGAGGAACTAGTGGCTTCCTTACAGCCTTTAGACCAGGGGTAGGGCACTCACCTGGGTCTGTGGGAGACCCTGGTTTGAATCCCCACTCTGGAGCAGAGACTAGACTCCTCCCTGCCCTAACCCCCAGCCTATGGGTTATGTTGGCAATCTCTCCCAAAGGTGGGGAATTGAGGGAAAAGACTACTGCCTCCAATACTAGGGGTGGGGGTTAATGATTTGCATAGTTTTGAGTCATTGTTGCTGTGTGTTCCCCCCTCCTTTAGTAAAAGTTTGCTTTGGTTTATACACAGATTCAGGGCTTGTGAGTGGGGAAGTATTCCCATATAATCTCTCTGATGGACCGTAACCTTGCTGCGGCTAAAGACCCACAGAGCTATATTGTCTGGAGCTTTTATACTCCTGGTAGGTCCCCCTTGGCGAGCAGGTCTGAGGCGAGGCTCCTAACCGTGGTCCAAACTTCAAAAGACCCCAACGGTGTCAGGGTTTTCCTCCTGTCAAGTTTTGTGTGGTTACCGCCTGTGCACCGGTTTCCCCATGTTAAAAGATTTCACACGCAGGCCTCTGCCAACAGGTTCACACCTGCACAAAGTCCTGCGGCGATGGACGAGTGGCGGGGAAGACAGGAGCAGTGATCTCTGGGAGTCTTTAGTCCCAAATCTGCACGCAGCCGGCAGCCATGTGATGGTTGTTTTGTGCTTGGTTGAGACAGACGTGCATTTCGGCAGCAGCGGCTGTGACTGAGCAGGGCCTTTTCAGGATCCCCTCTGCTCACCCCAAATGGGGAGGGGGCTAGAAAAGGTGCCCCAGACATAGGCTGTCTCACACTCTTCCGACTGGATGGTCGTATCCAGTGGGATCACTCAACTCTGCAGCTGAAACAAGAGATATGACAATGAATTTCACCACCTGGAATGTCTGCACCCTTGTGGACTCTCAGCACAGTGAATGCCCAGAAAGAAGAACTGCCATAATTGCCAGAGAACTGGCAAGACTCAACATTGACATTGCAGCTCTTAGTGAGACCCGCCAGGCCGATGAGGGCCAATTAAAAGAGGATGGAGGTGGCTACACCTTCTTTTGGAAAGGAAAGCCACCTGAAGAGAGAGACATTCACGGGATTGGCTTTGCCATCAAAAATAAGAAGATCGCCAGTCAGCTTTTGGAGCTTCCTGTGGGGATCAACGAGCATCTCTTGACTCTTCAGCTCAAGCTTAGCAACAACCAATATGCCACGGTCATCAGCATATATGCCCCAACACTCAATGATGAGGAAGACAATAAGGAGCAGTTTTATAGCACTCTCGAAACAGTCCTCACAGCCACACCTAAGGCAGACAAACATCCTCCTGGGAGATTTCAATGCCAGAGTGGGACAGGATTCACAACTCTGGAGCAGCACAATAGGCAAAGAAGGGGTGGGAAATATAAACCCTCCTCAGAAAATGTGTGGTGCATGACCTGCTCATCACAAATACCATCTTTAGGCAGAGTAACAAATTTAAGTCCACCTGGAAACATCCTCGGTCCAAACACTGGCACCTCCTTGACTACGTTATAGTCAGAACCCGAGACTATCCGACGTCCATATAACACGAGCTATGAGAGGTACCAATCACTGATGGAGAGACCATCGATTAGTAAGATCAGTCATGTACCTGCAGCTCACTCCACCACACACAAAAGCAGTACAACATCAAAGCACTTCAAGACCAAGCCAGTTGCGATATGTTCCAGAAATATCTGTTTGAGAAACTCTAACATGCCAGACAACATGACTGACATTCAACAGCACTGAGATCAACTTAAAAACACCATTCACAATGCATGTGCTGAAACCATAGGATATTCTACTCATCGGCACCAAGTCTGGTTTGATGAAAATAATGAGGAAATCCTAGCATTAATTCAACAGAAAAGAACTGCATTTTGTAACTGGCAAAATGATTCTAACAAACGAAAACATGAGGCCTATCACCTGCTTAAAGCCAAAGTCCAAAGGAGGCTACGTGACATCAAAAACAAGTGGTGGCAAGAGAAGACCTCTGAGATCCAGGGTTTCGTAGACCAGGATGACATGGGAAGCTTCTTTCAAGCAACAAAAGCTATATATAGGCCAAGCTCCAAAGGTCCGACCCCCTTATGTTCTCAGGATGGCTCTGCTCTCCTCAAGTAGAATGCAGCCATTAAACAACGCTGAAAGGAGCACTTTGAGAGCCTACTAAACCGCAAATCCACGGTCTCTGAAGACACCATCGACTTTATTCCACAACACTCAGCAATGGAACACCTTGCTGATCCCCCATCTTTTGAGGAAGACCGGCATGCCAACACTCAGACAAAAAAAATCACAAGGCACCAGGCCCAGATGGCATCCCAGCTGAGGTTTTTAAAGCTGGTGGAACTATGCTCCAGCACAAACGTTGCCAACTCCTTGACAAAATCTGGACCCGCAAAGAAATTCCACCTGATTTTAAGAATGCCAACATTGTTACAATACTTAAGAAAGGGGATAAATCATTGTGCGGGAACTACAGAGGTATTGCTCTCCTCTCCATCGCAGGGAAGATTCTTGCCCAGATCCTACTAAACCACCTCCTCCCCCTTTCCGAGGAACTCCTCCATGAATCACTGTGTTGCTTCAGGCCATCCCGAGGCACAACCAACATGATCTTTGTGGCAAGACAGATTCAGGAGAAGTGCAGAGAGCAAAACCAGGAACTGTTCATGGCATTCATTGACCTAACGAAGGCCTTTGACTCTATCAATCATGATACCCTATGGAAGGTGCTGTGTAGGTTTGGCAGTCCACAGAAATTCATTTCCATCATCAGACTACTCCATGATGGGATGACTGCCACCATTTTGTGCAACGGCTCAGAGACTGAACCATTCACCATTTGCACTGGTGTCAAGCAGGGCTGTGTCATTGCTCCAACATTCTTCTCCATTTACCTTGCCATGATCCTGATTCTCATCTGTCACCGCCTTCCTGACGGAAACGGGATTGAGTATCATATGGATGGCCAACTCCTAAGTCTTCGACGTCTCCAAACAGAATCTAAGATCACGAGAATTGGCATCACTGACCTTCAGTATGTAGATGACTGTGTCATTCTTGCACACACAGAGGCCAACCTGAAAAGCATCCTAAATCTTTTTGCAGATGCCTATTACAGCCTGGGTCTCTCTCTCAACATCGGGAAAACCAAGGTACTCTACCAGCCCTCACCTGCACAAACTACTCTTCGTACTCCACAAATCACCATCAGTGGAGAACCCCTGGAAAATGTGGACCATTTTCCGTACCTTGGCAGACACCTCTCCCAAACAGCCAGCATTGACACAGAAATTGAATAAAGGATCCATTGTGCCAGCACATCTTTTGGAAGACTACTCAAAGGAGTCTTCAATGATAGGGATCTACAAACAGGTACCAAGATCTTGATCTACAAGGCAGTTGTCATCCCCACCTTCTCTATGGGTGTGAGACTTGGGTAACCCACAGACGACATCTCAAGCGGCTGGAGTGGTTCCAGCAGCGCTGCCTTGAGAGGATTCTCCGGATCAGCTGGGAAGACCGACGCACTAACATCAGCGTTCTCTCTGCAGCCAACATCAGCAGTATAGAAGCGCAGGTCATGAAATACCAACTCCGCTGGGCTGGCCACTGTGTATGTATGCCTGACACTCACCTCCCGAAGCAAATACTCTTCTCTCAGTTAAGTCAGGGAAGAAGGGCTTGTGGAGGGAAACAGAAATGTTTCAAAGACGTACTGAACGTATATCTTAGAAAGGGAGGCATCAACCCAACAAACTGGGAGGACTTGTCGCAGAACAGAACACAGTGGCACCACATCATACACCAAGACACGGCTCACTTGGAGGAGAACAGACGTGCTCATGAGACAGGGAAGTGACAAAGGAGGAAAGAAAGGGCACAACACTCCAGCCAACAACTATGTCTCCTCCAAGATTACACCTGTCACTTCTGTGGGAAAATCTGCAGGGCAAGAATTTGGCTACTCAGCCTCTTAAAAACTCACCAATGAACCCCCTTGGCAGACATCATCCTCACATTGAGGGATAGCCGAAGATGATTTCCCTATAAAGGGCGCCCAGGGGCATCCATAGTTGTCCCAGGTTTCTGGATGTGAGCTTGAGCCAGTTCTGTTTTGTAATTTTAAGAGGAACGCCTAGATAATGTTGGCGTCACTAGGCATAGCTAGCAGGTAACTCGGGGGGGGTGGAAGGCCATAAGTGCCGATGAAACCTCCCTGCTCTGGGTCTAAGTGAGCCACAGTAACTCCATCTTGTGAACTTTAACCAGCCTCCATGCTAGCAGCCTAATGCTGAAGCAGAATATGTAACGGTCAGCTTTTTTGAGCAGACAGCTGCAGTTTCGCTCACACTAGCAGAAGCAGTAGTGATAAGAGGGGGGAAAGGGGGAGGGAGAAGCCTGCTACGTCTTAGCTTGCAAGGCCAAAGATAAATATGCGAAAGAGAACTTTTCTAACATGCCACAATGTACTGCCTGCTGTAACTGTTGTCGGGAAGGGAGGGGTAGGAGGGAGAAACAGAACAAAGGCTTACTCAAAACAGCTTGGAATACAAAATGGGAAACTTGCTTGTATTTGTTGCGCTTATGATTTGAGACATGCTGGTCTCCTGAGTGCCTTTTCGAGATCTCGAATAAACTTGGTTTGCTTCTCCACCCTGGTGTGTCTATTGGTGTGACGCACACCGGGCAACGAACCCTGTTGCCCCCTCAGGGCCCTCTGGGCCGGCAACAATAATGAACCTGGCCCTCATTGCTGCCGGACAACTTCTGCAACATGAAGGGGCCACAAAGCTCTTCTAACCAGCCACCTGGAGGATTCCCTCCGTAGCGGAATCCCTGCATGTCACAGAGCTGGCGTTAGACCACTCCCCACAACCTCCCTGGTGTGTGTGTGTGGTGGTGGGGGAACACGGCAGAGCTTCAGCAATCCCCAGCTCGTGTATTGGCACATTAGAGCCAGACCCAGGTTGGGGGGGGAATGACACTGCACCAGGCTCATTAGCCCCTCCCATTAGTTGACCTAATACCTTCCCCCCTACCAGTGCAGGATTGGTCCCTAAAGTACACTTCCCAGTGAGTTGCCTAGTCTAGTATGACACTGTCCCAAGTGATGGAGCTTCCACCACTTCCAGGTGGAGACTATTCCATGAGCTAGTCGATCTCTCAGCAGATCTGTCAGAGCAGCACAGCAGTGAAGCAGACTCACCCTTCAGCTGTGTATTGTCCCTTCCCATCCCCACCCCCCATATCACCATCAGTGAGTTACTCGTTCCCCACCCTTCTCCGAGCTGTGAGGGAGAGAAGAGGCAGTTGACTCCAGGGAGAGCCACCATCACTATAGGACTCTCTGCAGATCCAATTACTGCTGACGGGGAAGGAAACTACTAATTTCATCTCCGACAGGGAGGCACCAGTGATCTGCAGGTCTTGCTCTTCATTGACAGATGGCTCCTTTCCCCACGTTAGCCTTGAGAAGGAAGAGGCCAAGTATCACCAATGATGGGAATAAAAGGAGAAAACAAACAGCCCTGAGATGAGTCCTATCCATCTACACACTGATAGGCAGAGCTATGAGGCCTTTGCCATTCACTCAGCTAGTATTTCTGAGAGTTCAGGATCCAACATGGAGGTCATTTGGAAATCTGAGCAGAAGCGTCACAATGGGTGTTGGAAAATCTGTTGAAAGTCCCCAGAGTTTCCAGGACATCACAGGCCAACAGGGTGTCATTTAAGTAGCTATAAAAATGGGTGTTTGCTAAAAGGTAAGAGTGAGCTTTTTAATAAATGCATTTTATTAAGGTTGTTTAAAAGAAAAAAAAAAAAAAAAAACTATTTATCCCCCCAAAATTGGGACTGTGGGGCCAGCTGTCTGGTGTGGGCTCAGCTTTACTTACAATCCCCAAACAAGGCAGGCTGATGCATGTTGTGAGCCACTGACACAAGTGCTGGAGAGACAGTAAAGGGATCGGACACCAGCCACCCTCATGGGTGAGCATTTTAAACAAAGGACACCTGTAAATGCACAGAGGTGGCCAAATGTTACTTACATCAATCTCTGCAATTTGCAGTTTGGATGTTTCAGTCCCTCACACAGCTGTTGCACCGCAGTATCTCTCAGATCATAATTATGACACATCTCCAGCTCTGTCAGGCTCTGTTTGGTTCTGAGAACAGCAGCGAGATCCCTACCACAAGTGTCTTTGAGATGACAGCCTTCCAACCTGCACAAGAGACGAAATCCAGACAAGAGCGATCATCCCGTGAATTGCGCTCATCACAGCTGTTCTGACAAGTGGCCTTGCCCGCCAGCCCCTCTCCTGACCAATCAGCATTGCAATTGGGCCAACGGTCCAGTTCTAGCTGTGAGGATATTTTTTAGACAGCCAAGCTTGGCAGCACATGCAGGTTCAGAAAGAGAAAGAGAGAGAGAGAGCAATCACACTTTGGAGATGGCCCGTGCTTTGCTTCTAATAAGTAACCACCTCTCTCAGCTTTGTCTAAGTCTCCTTCATAAGAATTCATGCATATTACACTAGGCCCTGCCCCAAGCCCCACCCCTTGTCCAATGGGAAGCCAGTGTTGGGTGGGACTTCCTGATTCAGCCCCACTGCTTGCACGTCACCCTTGACTTATCAGCATTAAGAATAAATCAGACATTTCACGCTCCAAACCTCAGCCATCAACCAATGAGGAATAAGGTTCGGGGTAAGACTTCCTCTCCAACACCACCCCCACCTCTTCCCCTGACCTTTGAGTGGATCTACTTCATCTCAGAGACCAATGACAAGATCAACACTAGCATTCAGACAGCACAGGTTTTCCAGAGAAGCTGACAGAGACACTGCCTGATACGGTGATGGAGTTCTCAAGAATTACCATCCCTGGAGACTTCAACATTTACATCAACAATATATCTGATCTAGTCTACCCTTTTCACCCAACGATTGTCACACAGAGTCTCTAGGCCTACACACACACAAAACTGGTCACACACTGTACCTGATCTTCATAATGAACGTCGACGTAGGCAAAAATCATTGTCCTATCCCAATCAGACCATCCTTTCCATAAAATGGAGAACAGAACTCTCCTCATCTCCAGGCAAAAGTTCTGGCCATGGTGGCCTGTCCCCAGAAGCTCACAGACCCAGCTATATTCACAAAATAATGGTGCCCTACCAATCAAGCAAGAACTTGAAGAACCAGTGAGACATCACAGTCACTGACTGACCACTGCCATCAAGACATGGGTTATAGAGTACCACCTCCCCTGTATGAGCCTCACAGAGCTCTATGGTTTCTCAGTTTCTAGAGACTTCAACCTCCTTGGTTGAAGGATCCATCTTTCCTTAGATTTCAAGAGCTCTGACCTCATGTCCTTCAGGTGATGGATGCGAAAATGGCTGTCTGTTTCTGCTTATGCATCCCATTTCCCAAAGTCCATTGTCTCTTTTTCAAGAGCCAGGAAGGGTTCCTGGGGGTACACCCTCCGTCCCCTGGTGGGATTGTTAAATGGCCACGGCCGCCACCCCCCACCCCCGACTTGCTAGTTTGATGGTTTTGTTTACCTTCTATATTAACGTACTGACCTCACCTTGCTCAACTTACATTGGAGACACAATCAAGCAGGTGAAACAACATTCTTTTGTCTAGGACAGACTGGGCTTACACACTGCCTGCCAAACGCATTTTAAGACCATACTTCCAGCACACCGCTATAATTCTTTATACACCGACTGCACATACATCACACAATAATACTAATGACCAACGTGTCCCCAGTTTACATACGATCCCTTACATGACACCTTCTAGATACAGATTCTGACAACAGTGAGCAGGGACAGCGAGTGTGTCAGGCCTGATGCGAGTTACGGCATGATGTGCCCTCTGCCAGCTGGCACTGGAGGACTCACAGGAGCCACCATGGTTGGGGCTGAAGCTGAAACCCAAATTGAGTATTTCAGCTCAGACAGGGAGGTTTAGAATCCTCGGGGGTCCTAGGGCCTCTTTTGTTTTTATTAGTTTTATATGGAAAGATCAAAGTATCAAAAGTTAGTAAAGTGATCTGTAAAATAGGCTGGTAGCTGAAGGTTAAGAGTGAGCTCTTTTAAATAATTATTAATAATTTGGGGTTTTAGGGAGTCTAGGGGGTTCTGTTTGGCATGGTGGAGCAAATCTCTTGCACTCCAAAGCCATCCTCTGCATCCATTTCCATTCAGCATCGGGAACCCGCACCTGACCCCCCTCTCCCAACAAAGGAACAGGTACCCCAAACCTTTTAAATGCCAATAGGCAGTGATGTGACTACTGTGGGCTTTGCCAGTGGCCAAAAGATGAGGGAAATGGAGACGCCCCCCCCCCACACCCCAGCAAGAAGGCTGCCACCAAGGGCACTGAATCTATTATAGCCCTGTTGAAAAAAAGCTTCTGCAGATACATTAGAAATCAAGGCCACAACGACGACTATGCACTTGACTGTTACCTCAGCGGATTCCTCTCTGAAAGCACTAAAGGGACTGATGAATGAAGCTGAAGGAGAATATCAGCAGTGGAGGACCTAGTACAGGGGCTCTTGGCTCAGGTACAGAGAAGCCTTAAAGGCATATCCTCTGCAGAATGTAAGCCGTCAGACCTCAAGTGGCGCTCGCACCATAATAATCTGAGAAGTGTGGAGGTACCTGAAGGAGCTGAGCAAGGCAAATCCCTAGAATTTGTCCCCCTGCTCCTGACATAGGCACTCAGCCTGCTGGGTGATTTTGAATTTGATCTGGAAAGATCTTAGGGACCAGGGACCTCTGAGATGGCCCTGAGAGCCAAACCTCACGCACTGATCGTTAAACTTCTCAAATTCATTATAAAAGAAAATACTGCAGCTAGCTCCTGATAACACACCATTTGGGGGACACCATGAAATAAGACAATGGTTTTTCAAGCTCAGCCTTTAGAAAAGTTAGGGAACTTCAGGCAGCGAGGGCTTAAATATTTTATGAAGTTTCCAATTCAGTTCCATGTCAGGATTGGTGGGGAAGTGCCTCTGCTTTAAAAGCCACTAGAAGCAGAAAGATTTTTAAACAGCCTGCAGTGAATTGAGCAACTCTTCTGTTTTACACCAAGTTTACTTCTCTATTGTCGTCTGCTGTGCTTGCACACACAAACCTATCCAGTGACTGTGACTAACCTAATTCTCCAGGTTCTCGTCTGCTCCAAGCTTATATTTTATTAATGGTTGGAAAACATACATCAATTCTCCTCAAATGAGAATGTGAAGTTCCCCAGTAGGGGAGTTCAGGGAAGACCGCACCCCAAATTCATCTGATGGGAGTGAACCGTCTGCAGAAAGGATTTATTTACACTGTATTTATCAGTAATAACCGCCTTTGTTCCTCCATTTGTGTTGGGGAGCTGATGAAACAATTGATGACTGGCCCAGACAGATCAATATGAACAGTTTGTTTGGGGATTATACAAGGTCTGTGTGTTCGCTTAGCACCAAAGTCTACCGAAGAGATCACCGGACGGCGGAAGTGGGCAGCCTCCTGCTCCATTGTAGGAACTTGAGGATGCCAATTCCACTTTGAAAAACTGGTACCAGAAGAAAACCCCGGCATGTCGCCACGTCTTGCTGCAGGGGGTCCTTAGTGCCCAGTAGTTTGACATTGCACACACTGGAAGTGAGAGAGAGAGAGAGCTCTCCTCCTTGCCAGACATCATGGAAAGGTGTGTAGGAGCCGGGGGATGCAGCAGCGCCATCTACAGGCCAGTGGAGTGGAAGAGAAGACCAGCAAGAGTTGCTGAGCTACACAAACTAACCATTTCTGCCCTTCCTGTCATGTCTGTTTTTAAAATATTTAATAGCATCATTAGAGCCTTCCTTTGGGGCCCTGGCCAATGGCCATGATTATCATTTAAAAAACTTCAATTCCTTACAGACAGGGGGTGAGGTTAGTCTCCTAGATCTACAAAATTACTATTTGCTTTTCTCAGGTCACAGATGTCAGGCTGGGTCCAGTGTGCTAATGCCTTTATATCCATGTGGGTGGAAACTGAACCTGTGTTATTGCACCCAGTCCCCTCTGCAGGACTCCTTGTCTAATGGAGAAAAATAGGGTGCTCACCGTGGTGGCCACACACGCCATCTGGGCTGTCCTAGCTAAGAGGTACTCATTTCATCCTCGCCTTCATGCAAGGCATCTCTATGGGGCAACCCGGACTTGCAAATTAGATGCAAACCTGTAAGTTGGAAGAACTGGCTGAGTAGGGGCATTGTATGTGCTTCCCAATTAGTCAATGATGAGGACTTTGCTCCTTTTCTAAGGCTAAAGCAGTGCTATGACCTGCCACCCTCAGCAGAGTGGCACAACTCACAGCTAAGACATTTGCTAATGGATCTGTTTGGATAAAGGCTGAGACTGCATGAAGAGTGCCAGACCTTCATTGTACCTAACCACTCCTGCCTTTTCCCTCTCCCTCATTCCCTCTTCTATTTATGTACGTCTATTTTATTAATGTAACCTCCACCCTAATGTGTTATATACAGGTAGCATTATCAGGTATTTGTGCAGCTTCAATGAGTTGTAAAATTGCTTAACTTTATGGTGACTTCATATGGTATTTGGGAACACATACAAGCTGTATGTGGATCTTCCCTTTTGTATTTTTTTTTTTTACAGACTCTTTCTTTACAAAAAAAATAAATCAACAGAAAAAAAAAATCACAAAAAGTTGTTTAAAATATTTACACCCCTGCCCTCCCTCCCGTACCCTAAACATATATATTCTGCAATGACTAGGGGCTGGAGAGCCAGCTGTCCGGTGTGGGCCCAGATTTACTTACAATATCCATTTTCCAAACAGGGCAGGCTGGGCGCACGTTATGAGTCATTGATGCGGGTGCTGTAAAAACACTTAACTTTCATCTTCTCCATGTAGCTGCAGGGAGCATTCATCAAACAGCAGCAACACACCCTGTCAAGCACTTTACATAGAGGACACCTGTAAATCCAGAGGACGCCAAATGTTACTTACCACAGTCTTTGCAAGTTGCAGCTGGGATGTTTCAGTCCCTCACACAGCCGCTGCACTCCAGAATCTCCCAGAGGATTACCATTCAAGTTCAGCTCTGTCAGGCTCTGGTTGGTTCTGAGAACAGCAGCGAGATCCCCACAGGCAGCACCTGTAATGCAGCAATATTGCAATCTGCAGGAGAGAGCAATGCAGGGAAAAGTGATCACGGCATGAATGGGACTGTTCTGATAGGCGGCCCTGCCCAGCAGACCCTCTGCCTGACCATTCAGCATCCAGAATGGCCCAGACATTTCAAGCCCCAAACTTCTGCTATTGACCAATGGGAAATACAGTTTGGGGTAAAGCTCCCTCCCGAAGCACTGTCCCTAGCCACCAAAACTGACCCCTGCATAGCCCCCTGCATCATTACAAGAGATTTCTGATAAAATTGCGAGAGATGGCAACAGGGTCATACATCAGACAATACATGGCTGAGGCGCCTAGTTGGGAATGATAGGTGGGCACGAGAGTCCATCGTTCCTCAGAATGGAGGAGGGAAATAACCTAATCTGTGTTGACATCAAAATGCTCAGGGTAAAAAGAATGGTTACTTACCTTGAAGAACCAGTCACTGTAAGATGTTCTGTGCCTGTGGATCCCACCCATTGTGTGTGTTCACCCTCTGTGCAGGAGTTCAGAAAGTTGTCTCTAGCAGCGTCCATTGGGGTCATGCATGCACCCTGCATAACCTCACGTTCCCCCTCTTGTGGGCATAAAGGGTGGAGCTACCCCACCCCTCGGTTCCTTTGAGGCTCAGATTCCACAGAGAACAACTCTAAGCTATGGCCTTGGAGGGCAGGTCGTGGGATCCACAGGCATTGAACATCTCGAAAAATCACAGTTCCTGTAAGGTACGTCACTGTTCGTTCTTCTTCAAATTTTTGTGCATGTGGATCCCACTGTCAGGGTTCCTTCCCCACTCTGAACTCTGGGGTACAGACGTGGGGACCCGCATGAAAGACCCCCTAAGCTTATTTTTACCAGCTTAAGTTAAAAACTTCCCCAAGGCACAAATTCCTTCCTTGCCACCACCAAGTGATTTAAACAAACATTCAGGGAGGGCCACTTTGAGCCCTACCTCCCCCAAAATATTCCCAGAAGTCCCTGCACTCCCTTTCCTGGGGAGGCTTGAGAATAATATCCTCATCAATTGGTACAGGTGAACACAGACCCAAACCCCTGGATCTTAAGAACAATGAAAAATTAATCAGGTTCTTAAAAGAAGAATTTTAATTAAAGAAAAGGTAAAAGAATCACCTCTGTAAAATCAGGATGGTAAGTACTTTACAGAATAACAAAAGACTCAAAAACACAGAGGAGTTCCCCTCTAGGCAAAACTTTAAAGTTACAAAAACAGGGATAAACCTCCCTCTTAGCACAGGGAAAATTCTCAAGCTAAAACAAAAGATATTCTAACGCATTTCTTTGCTATTACTTACTATTTTTGCAAGACTAGATGCTTAGTTCAGATATAGCTTAGGGAGATGTATTTTCCCTGCCCTGTTTCCTTGTTGACTCCAGGAGACACAGACAAAAAACCTTCCCCCACAGATTTGAAAGTATCTTCTCCCCTTATTGGACCTTTTGGTCAGGTGCCACCGAGGTTATCTGAGCTTCTTAACCCTTTACAGGTAAAAGAGGAATTAACCCTTTACAGGGTAAAGAGGGATTTTATGCTACCCTTAGCTGTATGTTTATGACACCCACTCATGGTGATTACCCAGCAGGTTGGTTGGTCTGGAGGTCTGAGTCAGGAGTTCGTGTGAATAAGGACCGGAGAAATGCCCTGCCAATCTGGACATCTGCTGTCCATGCTGCTACCAATGAGTAATGTTTGGTTGGACTGAAGACCATGTTGCTGCTCTATAGATTTCTACTAATAGTACTCCATTGAAACATGCTGCTGAAGAAGACAGAGCTCTCATTAAATGTGCAGGATGATCTAGTTTATTAAATTTGATAAGCTGTACTGATATAGTCAAAAATCCATTTAGACAGTCTCTGTGAAGAAATCAATCTATCTTTGACTTTACTACCATAGGCCACAAAAAATCTTCTGGGTGAATTTCTAAAATACCTTCTTCTATTCAGTAGAATAGACCTCTTCTGACATCAAGCTCCTTCCTTCCTGGGAACAAAATAGTGGGCACTTGTCTTTGATGGCAAAAAGATCTATCTGAAGAAATCCCCATTCATGGGACACTAACTGAAGGACTGTACCTTTTATTGTCCACTCATGAGATGATGTGCTCTTCCTGCCTGGCTGATCCATCAGGATATTACACCTACCAGGAGAAGTCATACTGTGATACTGAGTTGATGCAGAATCCATCATTCCCATAGCAGTATGGATTCTTGACAAAGAGTCCGATCTTGCTGCCTCTGTCTCTTGATATACATGGCTGTATAATAGTCCACTATGATCTGTACTGACAGGCCCTTTGCAACTGGGAGAAAGGACCTGCATGCTAAATGGATAGCCCTCAGTGCCAAGACATTTAAGTGGCCCGCTGAATCCATTACTGACCCAATACCATAAGTCTGCAACTGAACTAAGTGAGCTCCCCTGTCTGGATGCAGTGGTGACTGGAGTCTTGGCAAGGACTGGAGTTTGAAATGGAATTCCTTGACATATATTGTTAGGGATTAGCCGCCACTGAAGAGACAAATGACCCCTTGGGGGATTTTAACCCTTCTTCATGTGGTGAATGCTTGGGTGAAATACTGATTCGATCTGTGACTGTAACAGTCTTAGCTCAAGTCTTGCAAAGGCTGTCAGGTAAGTACTTGAGGTTATGTGGCCTAACAGTCAAAGATAGACCCTTATGAGTTGTGAGGGCAAATCTCAAACTGAGATATTAGTTGACAGATGTTCTGAAATCTCTCTTGAAGGAGAAAGACATTTGCAATTCTGGAGACCAAGATCACCCTGATGAATTCTATTGACTCTGTCAGAATTAGGTTTGATCTCTTTAGCTTGACTGGGAGACCCAAATCAATTAAAAAGGCATGGCATCCAGGCACATAAATTAAAGCATGTCAAACCTCCATTTGACTGCTCATATTCATGAAGAAAGTGGCCTTAATTCGCTGTAACTTAGTCTGAATTAAATTACAGCAAATCAAACACTGATCCCCTACCAAGCAGGCAAGGCCTGGAAGTAGCAGCGAGACATCAGAATGATTGACTGTCCACTGCCATCAACACTCGGTTTCTGAAACACTCCTCCCCTCTATGGCCCTCACAAAGCTCTGTTGTTTGTCTTACCTGGGACAGATGGAGCAGGAAGGAACAAAACCCAAGTGTCAGTGTTTCTAAGAAGAAACAAATACCTGCACAAAGAATTCTTCACATCTGCTCATTGGCCATGGCAGAGGCCAACAGATCCTTCTTCTCCTCTGCCACAGCAGCCACTAAGTCACATCCCATTGAATTATTCAGGACTGTCAATCACTCTGTCAACCTAGAATGTCTCCTCATTTCCATAGCCCAATACCACTCTCTGGGAGGGACTGCTACCCACTGACATCCCCCACCCCCCTTGGGACACGGACCCCAGGGACAATGGAGGATGTTCCTGACTCCTCTTGGCTTATACTTTCCTTTCCTTTTGCCACCTCTGGAGATGATTGAGACAGATGTGTAGAAGCCTTCTGAGGAGGAGAAGGTGGCAGGGGGTGATGCCCACTCAGCTGCAGAAGGAGCAACTGAGGGGGTACAAAGAAGGCTATCCTGTCTCCCCCAAGAGCCCCCTCAGAGGAGGAGAAGATGGTGACTCCTGCCGAGGGTATAAAGGAGCAGCACAGCTCTGGCCTGGCCTTTGGAGATCTCAAAGCTGCAGCTGGACAGCATGACGGATGGAGAGGCAGATGGGAACACCAGCCAGGAGCATTAACTGAAGAGGAGTGAGGCCAAGCACTGCAGCATGTTTGAGACAGGCATCGGACTGCGAGTTGACCTACACCCTGACCATGCAGAGCTCCCTGCAGCACCACCATGCAGTGAGGGTAGCCTCCTGTATGAGGCAAAGAGCCACCGCTTCACCTCCAACCCCACCTTCAACTGCATGGACATCCAGTGCTACACTGAGGATAAAACAGAATAGTGAACAGCTGCTGATTCAGTGAGCGCTCTCCATCCCGTGCACTGCATGAGGCAGGGCTCCTCTGGAACAAATAGTATGTGGTCACGTAATTAAAGAATGTTTTGTAATGCATATGCACAGGGCAGCTGAATTAAGGGTATCCAGGGAATTTTAATTCCGGCATTCCCTAACTTCTGTGCTTGACTTTGCAACCTTAATGCTCTTTTAACATAGATATAAAACAAAAAGACCTCACCCTAACACTTATTCCTGAAGTGCAGGGGGGGACTGTTATTAGTGCTCCAATTTGACCTCTCTCTATTTCCATTTTCCAAATAAGACAAGCTCTCAGACTGTTATGAGTCACAGACATGTCAGGGGCTGGAGGGACACTCACCTATGTACCTGAAAGGGAGCGGACATCTTACACCATCCTCACACCCTGCTAAGTTCTTCGCTTCAAAGAAACTTGTAAACACTCACCTCAGTTTCTGCACTTTGCAGTTTGGATGTTTCAGTCCCTCACACAACAGTTTAATTCCTGAGTTTCCCAGGACTTTATCTGACAGGTCCAATTCTGTCAGGGTTGGTTTGGTATTGAGAACAGAGGAGAGATCCCTGCAACAACTGGCTGTGAGAGAGCAATTCACAAGCCTGCAGGAGACAGATAAACAGAAGAAGAAATTAGTACTCCTGTCTGTCCAGTTCCCTCAGTGGGTACCAGTGACTATCTACAAAGATTCCTTTATTCTGGGAATAAATTCACAGTGCTGTAGTAGTGGATGCTAAGGACAAAATACTATGGGGGGATTTCAATCCACATGCATCTGTAGCTCTCATTGATTGCATGCATATGTTATTCTAAGCCAAAGTTCCCCAACTCCATCCCCTGAGCAGAAACACTTGGGCTTCTCCTACTAAAAAAAGCCATGATTATAAAGGAGGGGTCAAAGGAGTGGAAAGCAATGAAGGGAAGGAATCTCAATGGTAAATAATGAAATGCTGCTGCACTGGAAGGTATATTACAGTTTTGTGGATGGGGGAACCCGTTCTTCTCTCTTGCTACATCATTTCTACTTAGCACTCAGAAAACAAACCACCATCCATGGAATATGTAGTATTGAACATTCACGCTTCATAGAGCGGCTCAGTTTTGCCAAGTCTCAAGCCCCACCTTCCTCTCCTAGTACCCCGGGACACCAGAAAAGACTGGAATTTCTCTAGCGAGGCCAATCTGATGGATTGTAACAACAGTTTAACTGTAGGCCTACTTTTTCACCAGTGCAGCTCCCCTCGTGGCAGACTGTCTGCCAGCATTAGTAACCATTGCATCCTCTGACCCTGCTCTTAGAAAAAATGCCAAAAGCCATTACTGCAACCCAGAGAGCGGCACCAGCAGTAGTGCAATGTGGGAAGTTTGCAATGTTCAGAACAGACAAGGCTACAATGTAAATAACAGTGACCAAAGAACAGCAAACAGGGAAATCTGTCTGGGAGTTTGGTAGGGGGATCTTCATCCTTTTTTCTTTTAGGCGAAGGACTAGGAAGAGAAGACAATGATGGCTACTGAGGCAGCAATAGAGGTGACCTAAACAGGAGAGGAGACAAAGATGTCTGGGTGAAGAAGCTACGGAATGTACATCATCCTTGAATCAGTACCTGAAAGAAGTGAATTATGTATGAACTGTTGCCTGGTAGCGCTCGTGGCAGAGAAGATCGGAGGAGCAAAGATGCAGCTGGAGACAATGGAGTTCAGATGGGGATTTGAAGACATGATGGAAAAGAGGAAGCTGCACACACAACTCAAGATTTGCAGACACCTGCTGAACAAGAGGACCTGAAAAGTGTCTGCTAGACAAGGGAGTGACTCTTGGAAAAATGTGACCACAAGAACAAGGCAGAGGAAGAGACCAGCTGATGAAGGCGAGGAAGAGAAGCAATGAGAAGATGGAGTGACAAGGAAGAAGGAGTCCTGGCAGAAGAGAGGAAGAGATGATGGAGATACCCTGGGATCAGAGCTCTAGGAAGGATGAGGGGACTATAAGAGAACATAGGTCCGAATGATATGCGGATAGAAAGAACAACAAATGGGAGGAATCCTGGGATTCACAACAATACCAGGAAGAGGCAGGTCTATGTGATTAAAGGCTCCTTACTAAAAAGGACTGACAGGCCTGTCACCAGAGCAGATCCAGAGAACAGAAGGGTGTGCTATCTGCCAGGAGCAAGGATATGAGATATGGACCTGAGGCTGAAATGGAGCCTGATAGGCGTGGCAAAAAAAAAAAATCCACTGATTGTCCTACTTGTCAGGACAAATAACAGTGCCAGTCTCCTGCTAGAAGACACCAAGGACAGCTAAGTTTGGCTGGGGAAGATGCTCAAAAAAGTGGAGGCTTGGGTGATTGTCAGTGGAATACTTCCAATCCCTGGAGAAGAAGGGCGAAGCATGACACGGTAACGCAGTTCCATACCTGACTCAAGGATCGGTCCTGTGAGGAAGGCTTGGGGATGTTTGACCATGGGGAGGCATTCATAGAAATGGGATTCTTTGATGAACAGGCTAAACCTGAGCACCTGGGGTACTAACCTTTGGGGATCAAGGCTGACACAATTGATATGAGCGGTATGTGGTGCCAGTGCTAGTTTTCCTTCTTCTCCCCTGTGGCTTCTGCCCAGAAACTTGCCCCAGTTACATCTCTGCATTCTACAGCATCAAGGCAACACACAGGGGAAATGAAACGGGGCAGCAAGGGAGCTTTAGTTCCAGCCTAGTTATGTTCTGGAATGGAGGACGAGGCCCATGCTGAAGTTCCCCAGAACCCAGGGACAGGAAGTGTCCATCATCCCTCTAGTGCTGCCTCTGATCAGGGTGCTTTCTGAGACCCTGACATGCCCCATCCACATCCCTTCCCTGGGGATCTATTCCTTCATGTGGAGCTCTAGGATCATCACAGCCTTAAGGTTCCAAGTCTTTGTGGATCTATTAGCCCATATGGGCTTTCCCCATCCATGGAGCTGTGGAGCTGACCTCACTGTTGCTATCTGAGGAAGCCTCATCTTCAAAGATCATCAACTCCAGGGAAGATTCACTCCCAGAGACCATCCATCTCTCAGGTCATGGCCCCCCTCTCCCATCACCATTGCCTCACATAATTCTGAGCAGCGTGTGAGGAAGATTTAAGAGGATGTTAATAAAGATCTCTTTCCATCATTATTCTACATTTAGAAGATAGTAGTGACCCAAATCTCCAAGCAGAATTGCAGCTCCATTGTTCTGGATGCTCTACAAACAAAGATAATGAGACAATACCTACCCTGGAGGATTATAGTCTCAGAGAAAAAACTGATAAAGGGTTAAGGATGGGGACAGAACATACAAGCAAATTAACCTAGTGATAGGGAACTAAAAATTGTGCCGCTTTTGTTACTGCTGGGTGTTTTGTTTTTTTAATGTGAAATTGGGATAGAGATGAGGAATGGCAGGAACGTCTGAATTAATAAAAGTAAGGAAGTAGGAATGGCAGGAAGAGAGATGCCGTCTTCAGCCCCTGGAGAAGCTGCAAGATCTTCTTTCACAGTCGCACCACCGGATTTAAAAAAATTTTACAAGAACTTTTGGGAAGACTTGCAGACAATCTTGATCTAAAGCTGTCAATGGTGCAAGAAAAGGCCCAGCACCTCCTTTCTGATACTTATTAGCCTAGGACTGTTTCTAATAATGAAGGCATCCTGGAGCCAGCTCAAGTGTCTAGCTTATACCAACAATCATCTCCCAAATCTACGTGAGCAGGTTGCCTCTCTCAGGGCGATCTGCCTGGGTTTGAATATTTCTATTCCCACCTTCTCCCTTGATCACTGTAATAGCTGTTAATAGAAGTGATGGCAAGCTGGTGCTGCTAGATCTGTCCCCGAGGATGAGGAGGCCAAAGGCTGGATCTTCTAGGCAAATGTCTGCACTCTAGATGAAGACGGCCAACTATCAGACAGCACTGGCTGAATATGATTTCCTCACTTGGAAGAATGATGGCAAGAAGCAGGTGAATGGGGTTGTTTTTGAACGTCAGCAAGTAGCCACACACGCCTTTCATGCCAACAAAAGCGTCTTGGATGCTGTGCCCACACCAGTTACAGCAAAGACAGTCTCATGGCCTAAGAGTTCAGGTCCAGCTGTCCAGACCATAACTGAAGACCTTTTCTGTAAAGGTTTGGGATTGTTCAAGTGTCAAACAGATGAGACCTTTCAAAACCGTAAGGGCTCCATGGCCACGCTGAGGCCATCTGACCTGTATGTCCTCTCAGTGTGCAAAAAGCCAATGCTCTTCCATTTCCATTCCCACCCTCTAATGGGCCAGAAAAGCTGAGAGATATTCATTCCTCTGCCAGGCACAAAACCAGGAATTCACAGCAATGACCTCAAGTACTCTGGGAGTTCCTCTACTGGACCATGTGCTAAATAGGGGATATGATGTTACAACCAAGATTCCCAAACTAATTCACATCCTCCCCACTTTGGGGACCAGCTTTTCTTTATCCAGAGTTCTTTCATTATATAATTATCCGGCTCTGTGTTCTCTTTTGCAGATCTAAGGAGCATGGAAGCTGCTACTGAGACAGTGAATGCACAGGCATGGCAACCCTCAGTAAAAATCAGTGCCTTGCATTGTGCACACACGCACCATGGCAGTGCTCACGAACCGCAGATTTTGCCTTTTATGTTTTGCAGAAGAAGCCCGAAGGGACCAAGCAAACACAGAGGGGGTTGTGTGTTTTTTTTAAGTTGACACATTTTTGAAATTCAAATGTTCGAATGAGAAATGCAATGCTGTATCTTTGTTAATCTGATGGGTAGAGGATGGCCTTAGGGCCAGGCCGAGCAGAGACCTGGCAGTCTCCCCTCAACTGCTCTGGGGATGGCATGAAGCAGAGGTACAAGTGGCAGAGCTGGCTGGAAAAGAAAACAGTTTGTCCATTTTTAATCAAAATTATGAGGTTTTCTGACTTGCTCCAGAGAGTGGTTTGACAGCTGACGGGGCCAGTTTCTTAGGGTGTAAGGCCAGAAGGGACAGTTAGATCATCTGGTCTGACCTGCTGTGTGCACAGGCTATTGAATTTTACCCAAACACCCCTATGTTGAACCCAATAACGCTGAGCTGTCAAAGCTGTCACAAACGGATGGCAGCGGCAGTGTGGAAGTGCACTGGGAAGAGACTCATTGTGCCACTGCAGCTGCTCTGCCAGTCCTTGTGCTGAAACAGTGCAGAGGGACATGGTAGTGGCCATGATGCGATTGCATTGGCTCTGAGCAAGGTTAAACATAAAAGGTGATGTCATCCATTGTGCACTGTTGTAAGCACGCATGTGTGTGGATGTGCAGTGTTACAGGTGTGTTAGGAAGATGCACTGATGCTATTCTCTAGCATAGACTGTCTCAGAGACTGCTAAATCCCCTCATCACTCTGTGAAACAGCTGTGCACCACAGAGACAATCCAGCTAGAGGAGCCCAGGTTCAGACTCTTGGGTGTAGGAGCAGAATGTTTTCCACAGCTAGAACCCCTTGTCAGAGGGGATCGGACTGAGCCCTGGCCTGGCCATGTCCCGAGCAAAATGCAAGATCGTCTCTTTGCTAGTAACAACACCAGTCAGTGTGAGATGGTGAGAGATGAGAGAGTAAAATGAAGAAAAAGAAAAAAAATAGAAAAAAAAAAAAGATGGGGTTGGGATGGGACAGAGATAGAAAAGGAGATGAAAATCCCACCCCCCGAAACACCCCACATTTGAATCAGGGAGAAGTTAGGCCAGATGGGGATACATGAATGTTAAATAAATAGACATGGACAGGGATTAGATACCCTGATAACAGGCACCTTAGAAATACGTATGATTAAAATTGCTCAAATAATCTTCCTTGCCTTTTGAGTCTTCTCTGACCTCAAGTAATTTCCCCTGGACTCACAGCTTACCTCAGTCTCTCCTGCTCACCTCTTGGTTGGTAGCTGGGTTAAATGTAATTAAAAACTGCTAGGCTGAAACTAAAGCAACCCCATGCAAACTGACGGGAAATTTAAACAGATTTCTTAGCAGCTAGACAGTTATATATGGTCATTACACCTGCCCTGGCAAAGAGGGCTGCACTGATGTAGAATTTCCATGATAGCATCAATAATAATGGGATGTTTAAAAGGAGAAAAATACAGCTACTTACTTCAGTTTCTTTAATTTACAGTGTGGATCCTTCAAAACTTGACAGAGCAGATAAATAGGCGAATGCTTCGGCTCATCCCAATGCTGTATCCTAAAAAGAGAGAATAGAAATGTTCTATGTTGTCATCTCGGGACAGATTTTAATTCTATTTCCTGAACATTAAAACAGCCCTTTGTATGGCGCGATCATACACTATGTATGAGTTACTCTACAGTTTCAGTTCATTGAAAATACCCCCGAACAATGTATATATAGCACATTATGATGTACTTTACATACACAGTCAAATAGAATAGGTTCTACTAAGTGTAATCCATTCATTTTTTGGATTTCTATGATGCTGGTCCTTTGAGTAGTTAAATGAAATTGTAAGGACTCTCACAAATGGGAATGTCACCAGTGTTTACATGTTTTCATGTTGGGCAGTAATTGTTGCATCATTTCTGGAGATAAACACGTTCATTCCTATTTTATTTAACCAGGAGTGTTAATTTACCCATAAAGATAAAAGCCAATAGTCTGAGTATTTGTTTATAACTTTACATATGCTGGCTATCACTCGGTATTGGTAACTGGTGTTACATTTTGTGAACTTATATCCCTATAAGTAACTAGAAATGGTGGTTTATTAGTTCCTGACCCCAAAGAGTACAAGAGGGCAAGTTAATTTTAAGGCAGCATCTCCCTAAGAAACAGTTCAGGGGGAATAATGCAAAACTTAAAGAATATTCTGATGAACTTTAAAGTAAATTTACTTCCATTGTGTTCACACAGCTTTATTGTTCATGTTCTAGAAATATCCTAGCAAACAAGTTTACAGACAGGAATGTTGCTGAAACCGTGTTTACAACAAAATGTTTGCATGGAAGAAAAATCTGAATTTGTAATCCTGAGCTTTCATATTGGAATTCTGGTTCTAATGTTTATGCTCATCCATACACGGAACAAAAACCTGTGAGATGTCCCGTGTGTCCAATCAAAATGAATAATTTTGAACGAATACATTTTAACACATATATTGTTCAAATAATCGGGGGGGGGGGGGAGGAGACAAATATTAATCGTAAACCCAGCTCGAATAAGCAGATAATGATACAGATTTGATATTTTGTGTAGCACAGTCATTGGCTCTGCTCTCCTCCTTCTATCCCTCTATTTGCTCCAGCATCCCAGCTCCTGATCTATCTTTGTGCCATTCTCACTCCTTCCCTCACCTGTCTCCTCAAGCTCTCCCTTCTCCTCAGGTCCATTTCCCTTTCAATAAAACAGTACCCAGCTCTCATACAGCACTTTGCACCCATAGATCGCAAAGCTTGTTTTCTGGAAAGAAATGTTTATTAAATCAACTTACGACCTTTCTGGAGCTGGCAAGGCAGAGATTCTCACTTTCTGCATACACCAGCAACATCCTCTATATGCTGCTCCCCGTGTCCTTCAGACAAACCCTACAAAATGCCCCACCCTGTTCTCTAAGGAACATCACCTGTTAACCAAAATACACTTAAAATACAGCAAATAATTATAAACAACATCCCAAATTCACCTCCAAATATCGTATTTTGCAACAGAAAAATAATTTCAACAATTAATCCAGGATCCTAACACTAACATGTTTTCTCCCATATGGGGTATCACCCAATCACAACCTTAAGATGCACAGCCCAGACCTCTACCACCTCAGTGCTAGGGTAAAAAAACCTCTTGGGGAAGAAATACCATTAACCCCTGTGGGTAAGGCTTATAGAAGGATTAGATTTTTAACAGTAAATGTCAGTAAACATCAATTTCACCCTGGTTATATTGGTCATTACAACAATTTGTAACACACCCTACTCCTATTAACCCTCCTCCATCCTATGACATCAGGGTTGTTAATTGCCCATTTCATTTGAAGTGGTCTCTTATAACATATGTGAACCCCTTATGCTTGACAATCTGTCCCAGCTTGTATTTCAGATACAATACTCTGGCTACCTTCCCCAGACATGACGTGCTCTGTAAAGCTCAAAGCTTGTCCCTTCCATCAACAGAAGTTGGTCTAATACAGGGATCTCAAACTCAAATTACCAGGAGGGCTACATGAAGACTAGTACATTGGCCCGAGGGCCACATCACTGACACTGCCTCCCTGCTGCCCCCAGCCCTGCCCCCACTCCACCCCTTCCATTAGGCCCCACGCCTGCCCTGCCTCTTCCCACCCCTTCCCCAAAGTCCCCACCCCAACTCCGCCCCGTCCCTGCCCCTATTCCAACCCCTTCCCCAAATCCCTGCCCCGCCTCTTCACCGCCTCCTCCTCTGAGCACGTGGCTCCCCCCCGCCCCCCGGAAAGCGCTAAGAACCGCCAAACAGCTGTTTGGTGGTGGGACATGCCTGGAGGTAGGTAGAGGAGTGGAGATGCGGAGCGCTGGGGGGGGGGGGGCAGCGGGGGAAAGGAGCTTGGAGGCAGCAGGAAATAACTGGGGGGGAGGGGCGGCAAGGGGAGCTTGGTGGGCCGCAGCTAATAGCTCCGCGGGCCGCGTGTTTGAGACTCCTGGTCTAATAAAACATATGACCTCACCCACCTTGTCTCGCTCATATCCTGAAACCAACACAGCTATAACAACACTGATTTCCCCATACACACACACAAACTGATGAAAAATATTTCCATCAATAATAATAGAAATTTATAGATAGGCAAAGTAAGAAAAATGCTGCAGAGTTTGATTTAAAGATATTTACTCTGTATATTTTGATATGTGATTTTAACAATTTGTACTTCAACGGTTATACAGGTTTAACTTTTTGAATCTCACCATCTATTGTCATTAAATAATTATTGTCTAACTCCCTTCTCATAATATCCACAACTCTGAACATTTAAATTCATCAAAATCTAAAAAAAATAATGCTTAAAACACAATTTGTGCAACTCTGAAAAGTTAAACTGATGAACATTTTAAAAGCTTACAAATAAACATTGATATTATCCATCAAAACTATACAAATATAAAAATCAAATGCTGCCAAGACTATCTATGAGGTATGGGTCAGAGAGAGCTCGGCAGCCAAGCATGAATTAGCACTAGAACACTGGGGGGCAGGATTGTTAGACTAGGTTCTGTTCCTGGGTCTGGGTCTACTATAGTCTACTTAGGTACAGCAAATCTAAGTACAAAAATACCCGTTTTTTGGGTATCTGCTGGGAGCAAACCTGGAGTTTCTCTCTGAAAACATGAGCTTGTACCACTTGACCTAAAGCGGTGGTAGTCAATAGGCAGACTGCTGGCCAAATCCGGACGGACAGATGCTTTTGAACATAAGAACGACCATACTGGGGTCAGACCAAAGGTCCATCTAGCCCAATATCCTGTCTTCTGACAGTCACGAATGCCAGGTGCCCCAGAGGGAATGAACGGAATAGGTAATCATCGAGTGATCCATTCCCAGTCGCTCATTCCCAGCTTCTGGCAAACAAAGGCTAAGGACACCATCCCTGCCCATCCTGGCTAATAGCCATTGATGGACCTATCCTCCATGAACTTATCTAGTTCTTTTTTTAACCTTGTTATAGCCTTGGCCTTCACAACAGCCTCTAGCAAAGAGTTCCACAGGTTGACCACACGTTCTGTGAAAAAATACTTCCTTTTGTTTGTTTTAAACCTGCTGCCTATTAATTTCATTTGGTGACCCCTAGTGTTTGTGTTATGAGAAGGAGTAAACAGCACTTCCCTATTCACCTTCTCCACACCATTCATGATTTTATAGACCCCAATCATATCCCCCCTTAGTCATCTCTTTTCCAAGCTGAAAAGTCCCTATCTTATTAATTTCTCCTCATACGGAAGCCGTTCCATATCCCTAATAATTTTTGTTGCCCTTTTCTGAACCTTTTCCAATTCCAATACATCTTTTTTGAGATGGGGCAACCACATCTGCATACAGTATTCAAGATGTGGGCATACCAAGGACTTATATAGAGGCAATATGATATCTTCTGTCTTATTATCTATCCCTTTCTTAATGATTCCCAACATTCTGTTCGCTTTTTTGACTGTCGCTGCACATTGAGTAGATGTTTTCAGAGAACTATCCACAATGACTCCAAGATCTTTCTTGAGTGGTAACAGCTAATTTATACCCCATCATTTTATGTATCGTTGGGATTACATTTTCCCAATATGCATTACTTTGCATTTATCAACATTGAATTTCATCTGCCATTTTGTTGTCCAGTCACCTAGTTTTGAGAGATCCTTTTGTAGTTCTTCGCAGTCTGCCTGGGACTTAACTATCATGAGTAGTTTTGTATCATCTGCAAATTTTGCCATCTCACTGTTTACCCCTTTTTCCAGGTCATTTATGAATATGTTGACCAAGACTGGTCCCAGTACAGACCCCTGGGGCACACCACTATTGACCTCTCTCTATTCTGAAAACTGACTATTTATTCCTACCCTTTGTTTCCTATCTTTTAACCAGTTACCAATCCATGAGAGGACCTTCCTTGTTATCCCGACAGCTTACTTTGCTTAAGAGCCTTTGGTGACGGACCTTGTCAAAGGCTTTCTGAAAATCTTTTTATTTACATATTATCATTATACTTTTTATTATTTTCTCTGGAGTCTGGACCTAGACCAGGAAATTTGGACATTGACAAAAAATAATTAACTACCCTTGACCTAAAGTATCACTACTGTTAGCACAGATGCAGTGACAGACTCAAACTTCTATGTGCCATAGTCTCTGGAGAGGAGCAAACATCTACACTGTGTGGACACACATCACACACAGAGAGATTTTGGCCCATTTCACCTGCAAAGCAGATGAGTGTCTGTCATCTTACTGGGTTCCACTCCCAGCTCTGCCCGCTTTGGCCTTGTCCAACCTCAGTTATCTTAGCTGTGAAATGGATGAGTGATAGCACAGGAGTCCTAATCCCCATCTTCTACTGGCTGCTCTAACAAAGGCCCTTAGGGGAGGTGAGCTATCTCAGTGCACCTTCCCCTAGGCTACAGGGTATTTGGTGACACTTTCAGTCAAAAAAAGGGAAAAAAGCATGATGTTGCACTGATTGTGCAGAAATGTGTGACAGATCTTGGAAGTTTCCAAGGAGAGGTTGGACAAACACCTGTTAGAGATGGTCCTAGGTTTATTTGGTCCTGCCTCAGCACAGGGACTAGATGACCCCTAAAGGTCCCTTCCAGCTCTCTGTATCTATGATTCTACACTGGCAGTGTTGTAGTGATGAACTCTACCAATATAGCTTCATTGGTATAGAATAGACAACCTCTTAGTAGCACAGGACATTTTCTTCACAGTCTTGGGGGTCCGTTCTCAGATTGTTGCATGCTGAGGTGCTGCACAGACTGACTATGGGCAGTTCTTCACTTTGGCCATTTCATAGCAATATTTAAAGCTTATAGTTTTGCTTGAAGTGGTTCAACTAGATTTAAAGCAGAGATGAATGCCTGCAGCACACAATGCCAACAAGGGTACTGCTCAAATCAACTGTAGTAGTCTGAGAACAACACCCTAAAACGACAAACAAGTACAGAGCAACTCACTGTCATTTGGTCCCAACAGCTACTGAGCACTCTGAGGACAGCACCCAAACTACGAAAGCAATTTGCACCATCAACCTGGAAGTCAGCAACTAGTTTTACCCAGCTACTGTGTGTAAAAGGCAGGGGTTTGTGGGTGTTCTGTTCTGCAAGGCGAACGTTCTCTCTCAGACATTCACTGAGTATAGGCAGAAATGCCTGTTCTTGAAATTCAGTGTTTAGTGAAATTTAGAACAGGAAGGACAGCTGAGTTTGGATAAAGAGAATTTGAAAATGACTTATTTTTTCTGCCTTATTGAGGAGGAAAACATAGTTTTACACTGGGGGCGTGGATATTCCCTGTTTCTTTGTAGTGTCATTGTACCACAATGATGGACTTTGCAAAGTTATCAAGACACAAGAAAAATAATGTTTCACCTGTTAATTAAACTACAGATTTCTGAACTCAGGTGATACTTACTGATATAGCCACTTCTGTCGTCTTGGAAGCACATCTTCCCCATGGTCCCCAAAAGCAAATGTACAGTAAGATATGCAAAGTGACTCCAGTCGATGACAATTTTTTACACAGAATGAAAAAGCCATTTGATCCATTTGGGTAAGTTTATTTGAATCTAACGTTAGTGCAGTGACATGATCCAATGCACTTTTCACAAAGTTTTCTTCATACATCTCAAACATGCAGTGAAACTCCTCAAGGTTATAAATACGACATGTCTCCTGATCCACATTGGACAAAGGTAAATATTTTTGTTGGTTTGTTTGAATGCACTTCAGCAAATCTGGCTTAATTTTAGGTGAAATTTTACAGGAAAATTTTTCCTCCATGATTTGCATTATTTCTTCATTTAAGAGACCAAACAGGAATCGCACTGTTAACATTAAGTAATTTCTAGAGTTTCCATAGTTTTCTAATAATGTTTTCACATCTTTCTTGGGAGTCCCTGAATCTTCCATTGTTTCTTCATCTTCCTCCAGCACATAAAACAAAGCTGCAAAAAACTCCTGAAAGCTTAAGTGAATGAAGCTGTAGGCATTCACACAGTCAATATCTTTTTGGAAAATGTTCTTATTCAAAGACAGGGGGAAAGAGTCAGCTTGATTTAAGCCAAATTTCTTGAGTTCTGCTTCCTCAAACAGTATCTTCCGTTTCCAGATGCCATAAGCAGCTAAAGAACAAAGTCCCTTCAGGTTAGCTTGCATGTGTTGCTTCAAATTGCTGCGGAGAGGCTTGACTAAACTGGAAAGGTAGAGCACGTACACTTCAGTGACTGACTTTGAAGTTTGTGCAAGATCCTCACCTTTTTCAAGCTGTTGTTTCACAACAGTGCAGATGATCCAACACATGATGGGAATAAAGCACATAGTGAAGAGAATGTCATTTGCTTTCACAAATTGTAACGCTTGTCTTGCTTGTTTCTTGTTTCCAAAGAACTTGTGGAAATATTCTTTCCTGTCAGCTTCAGAAAACCCCAGGATCTCTGCATAACGTGAGCATTCCAAACACTGCAAGAGTTTCTCCAGAGCAGTCAGTCTTGAGGTGATTAGCAAGTAGGATTGGGGAAGAATCGTTTTCCTGAATAAACTGCTCAGTATGATTTCCACTGGCTTCTTCTCCCAGGGATCAGAGCACAGATTTTCTGTTTGATCAAAAGAGAATCTCAGTTCATCAAAGCCATCAATTATGAACAAGAGTTTTTCTGGCTTCATCAAAATCTCATTAACTGGGGCATTTGTATTAGGCAAATTTTTAAAAATCATGTCAACCACACTTCCCTGCTCAGTAAGGTTTGTTTCTCTGCAGTTTATGTAGAAAACATAATCAAACTTTTTCTTATAGAGTTCCCCAGCTGCCCAATCACACATGATCTTTCTTGTTGTCATCGTTTTCCCAATCCCTGCAGCTCCCAGCAGCACAACAATTTGTGGTGTTTGTCCTTGTTTATCACGTGTAAATAGGGTGTCTATCGTAACTGCAGAACAAGCTTGTTTAATTTTGATTTCTTTATCTCTCTGACTCATGGCCATTATTTCATGTTCTCTCTCCTTTGCATGATGAGGGTCGTCTAGAATAATCAGCTTCGGATATCTTCTGTTTAGAATCACATTGTCAGTAGTAAGACTCATCATGTTTTGTATGACTTCATACTTGTTTTTAACATCTTCTTTATACTTCTTCCTGTAACCTAAATCAGTACATGATGCATTAGAAATATTGAACCAGAAGCTCAGAGAAAAGACTTGATCTGTTACAATAAAACAAATAATAATGGTACCTGAAACTGATATTGCACCTATCTTCAAAGAATCCAGAAATCATTTAACTATGGGCCTGATTCTGCAGCCCTAACTCAGATAAAATTGCCCCACTGAAATGATTTGTGTGAGTAAGGACTGTGGTGATCACTTTACCCCCCACTGTAATGCAGCCACCTCTTGGGAGAAACCTGGCAACTGTTTATCAGTGCATAGCAACACTATACAACAAGTTAATGTAAAAAGTGCAATTGAAACAGTGCTGGGAATTTAGGTGGAGAAAATGTAACTTCATAAACTAGAAATTGCCCAAGGCACTTGGGTTTGAATAAAGGTGCCATAGTGTCTTTATTGACCACAATTGGATGCCTCCAGTTATCTTCTTTGCTTAAGAGATGGTGCCCCTAGCAGCAGAACATCCTCTGGCACCAGGCTGGTGCATTGGCTCAGTACTGACCCAAAGAGATGTTGTGCCCACATCTGTATTAGAAGTTGCCAGAGGTAACAAGAGTCCCACTCAGCCCATTATATAGAATTGTTTGTAAAAGTCAGCCAGAGTTGAAAAATAGAATGGCTGGTACAACTGAAGTGTTTACGGTCTAGAAGGCAGGTGCTGAAAAGCTCCTGGTAAAGGACAGGTTGGCATGACAACAGAGCTGAGAGACTCTAGACATGGGAGGAAGAGTTTATAATTGAAATGGCCAAATGGCGTTGTGGTCAGTTGATTTTGCTGGCATGAGGTTGCTCCCCGTTTTGAGCACTCGTTATCTTGAGGCAGAGGGATGTCACTAAACAGGGCAGTGGGACGTATGGATCTTTACCATCATAGCTGCCATCCTTGTCATTTCCCATGATCCACCATGACACTGTTGGACCTTCATCATCCTGAGCCTGAAAGCCACCCTGACCAGACTGAGCCAGAGGGAGGGACCCAAATGACATCATTGTCTCCATTGGCTAAATCCTGAACACCACCTGGCATGTCAGCTTGGGGTTCCTGCTGTCACCCCCTCCCTGCTGTGTCATTTTCCTTCCCAGTCTTTCCCTTTATACCTACTGTCTAGTAAGTTCATGGCTTAGCCAGCCAAGACGACTCCATCTTTTAGAACACTGCTGCGAGTCCAAACCAGAGAGGGAGATAAAGGCAATGCCTTAAACAGCCCGACTCTGGTAAAAATTTGCCGGGTCTTGAAGTGACTGATCAGACCATGTGCTGGACCTGTAAGTCTCCAGCAGTGATGCTGGAAGTGAAAGTCAGCGCTAGAGAGAGGGCCTGCATTTTCCCTTTGCTATGCTTTTCTCCCCCCTTTGTGTGCATTTGTCTTGTTTTAAAAGTATTTCAGCAGCAACACAAAGGCATTTCCTGGGGACTGATGCTGGCTGCTGCCCATTAAACCCTAGGAAATGCTCTTCACCTCCAGTGCTATTACCACAGCCACCATTGAAATCTGTTGCCTTTGGCAGTAGGTAGCCTTATTGCTGAATTCATGATATTCCCTAGACTAGAAAATAATAAGGAAACTCTGTGCTAAAAGTATGATCGGGAAAGGTGTTTGTTCCAGCAAAGAATCCAAATGAAAAAGCAGGAACCCAATGTACTTAGGAATATTTCCCATGTAGTTATCAGTCACTTTATGAAGTTCTGTTTGTGGCATATAGAGCTCTATATGCATCCGAAGAAGTGGGTTGTAGCCCACGAAAGCTTATGCTCTAATAAATTTGTTAGTCTCTAAGGTGCCACAAGTACTCCTGTTCTTTTTGCGGATACAGACTAACACGGCTGCTACTCTAAAGGTCCTGTGTCAATTCTGCCCTAGTGCAGGAGGTGCACTAGATGGCGGACGAGAGCCATTCCAAACTTAGGGAACTAAGACAGACACAGAGCCTTGCTCAATCAGATGTTATTTTACAAAAATAAGTTTGAAAACAATTTACATTATCTTTTGTGGGGTGGAAAGCGGATATTTTATTCCCCTAACTTAGTTATTAACAGATGCTCATCAAAATAAGCTAAAACCTATAGTAATATACTATGTTCTGGTAGGATCTAGAGCCCCAATTGGTGATCAGGGCCCCATTGTACTAGGTTCTGTGCAAACACATAAGAAAAAGACAAATCCTGCCTGAAAAAGCTCACAGACTAAACCAACAAAATGCCCCCTGCCTTGTGCTCTGGAGGCAGCTAAACTCTCCCCCTGGGGGTCTGTCCAGGGGAGTGAATTCCAAAGGCCTCTAGGGAGAGCCCCACTGCCAGCCCTGGAGCTTCCATCCCAGGGACCCTGGGCAGGGCCAACCCAGCTGAGCTCTTCTGTAACTGTGGGGAACAGGGGAGAGGAACAGGAATAACTGTAACAAGGTTGAGTTTAGATCCATCACAGACCACATGGATTCTAACATTGCTCCACTAACGCATGGATCCCCACTGGCCCTGACTCTTACAGTCTTGTGAGACACTGCAAAGCGGCCTGGAGTCTTTGGAACCGCAGCTCTCTAGGTTTGCTGGCTACCTGGCTGTTTGTATTGCACTGAATTTGTTTCTTTAATGAAAAACAGCCTTGGAGATATAGTTTGTGCCTGGAACCCCAGAAAGGTTCCATGGGGCCCCATCAGCTGTTTGGTGATAATATCCTAGGCCAGGATCATTTTCCAGTTACAGATCCTCAATTAGAGAAGCCTGGGGGATGTTCTAATTTACACCAACTGCCAGTGGCCCCCTAGGAACAGTCCCGCAGCTGGGGATGCACTCTAGTTACTCCGCCTCCTCGCCACCTTCTGTCCATGACACTCCCTCTGCACCACTACATTGGCTGTCCACCCACTGGGAATCCCCCACATTGAGGGTATCCTCAGATGGAGAGATACAGGCCACATCTGTTCCCCTCATGACAGCTGTGTGGTGAAAAGGAAGTGGGGTAGGTCAGAGCATCTGGCCCACCATTGGCATCCCGGCTTAGTGTCCCCTGGCTTCCTGATTTAGAATTTGGCATTTGTGCCATCAGCCTGTTGTTTCTCCTTCTGCTCCTATTGCTGCTGGCCTGGGACATATTCCAGGAGGAGACTCCCAGGTTTTAAAGTGGCTATAGGTTTCTTACCTTTCTCTTTTCCTTCTCTGAGTTTAGCAGCAGAATCTCGGAGGTCGATCTGAGTGAAAACATCTATGGTTACATCTACTGCAGCCTTTCCACCATAGAATTTCATCAGGAGGTTCTTAGTATCTATCCTGTTGGCATTGTCCAGACAACCTCGAGGGATGTTACCTTTCCCCTTAAGGGCAGAGTGTGATAGTTTGTCTTTAAATCTTTTGAAGTCTCCCTGAGAAAGGTTGTCGAGGACACGTACAAGCAGGTCACTGATTCTGCTGCTTTGGTTTCCCATCACTGGATATCAGGAAATGAACTAAAATACAATGAAAAGTCCATTTATTAATAAGTGATATAGTAGAGAAAACAAGTGCAATCTAGTGGCCAGAGTAGATCACTGGGGCACATATCTCCTGGGTGCTTTTCCTCATAAATGACGCACTGGACTTGGTCTCTCTGTGCCTCAGTCTCTCCATCTGTAGAATAGGGATAATCATATTCCTCTAACTCACAGGACTGTTGTGCAGCTTAGCCAGCATTGGTAAAGCCTGTTGAGGTTTTAGGATGAAAGGTGCTATAACAACAACAACAATAGTAATTATCACCCAAATGAATTTCAAAATGCAAGGTTGGGATGCCCTAAATTAATTACATTTCAGAAAACAACCACTCAGTCTGGAATCTGCACATCACAGCCCTGGGGAATCAGGCCCCATGTACTGAGACCCAGTGCTAGCTTATGATGACCTCAGGAGGTTTTTTGCATAGCAGAGCACACCAAGTGAAAGGTAGCTGTGGTAATTTCTGCCAGTGATCAGGCCCCATACCCTGAACCTATAAACTAACTAGTTCTGATCAAAATTAGCCCATCCCAAGAGAGTGACTTACTTACCATTCGCCCGAAAGCTACTACAAACAACATCTGATGTCCCTAATTAGAGTTGTTTCTCTTAATCTTCTTGATGCTCAACCACAGATGCACAGGGTAGCTAGCAAGAAGAACAGGAAATTTGCTCAAAGTTTATTTCCACAACAAAGAGAAACAAAAGCATCTCCAGTTAAAGCTAATCTTCAAAGCTTTTTGAATTTCTAGAACAGCCCTCATAGGAGGGCAAGTAAGGTTCTAAACCTTCCTGGTGATTTTTTATAGATATAAAACCTTTTCTTGGTTTTTATTCCTTCTGGAAGTTTGTCTTTTGGCTACACCCCTTTGGCATCAACAACTGGTACAACTTTTTCAGTGATATATTGACACCACAAACTCCATGGACTTGTTCATCTTTTTTCACCTCCCTCATATTCTCTGTTGGGAGAAAATAATGTAGTAGCTTTAACCAAGCAAGTAGCAAGTCTAATCAAAACAAACAACATATAAAAAGAGAATGATTGAGTATTTGCTCAATATTCAAATAGCAGTGATCTCAACAGATTCTGGGGCTTAAGTCCCTCTCACTCGTGTTTTTCTGAGGTGGAACATCACCACTATTTTTAATTTTAAAACATCATGAGAAAGAGGGGTTTGGAAAAAAAATAAAGGAAGCAGAAGTGGACCTTCATGGGCCAGGAATATCATAAGCTGAAAAAGTGAACCTGAAACAGCTTTACAAGTCACATTCACAGTGACTCAGGAGGAAGTTGCTGCTTGATAAATGGAGGAAGGGAGGAGGCATTTCTGATGAACCCCTGTGAGATTCTTTATCACTGCTATCTTTCTGGGGCAATCCCCTTTATTCCCTCGAAGATCAGATAAGCAGCTCCACTTGGGGTGCAAAGCCCCCACCCCACTGGCTCACACCCCAATGCCTGGCACCATTTGAGGCTTTGTGTTCTTATTTTGAGAATTTCTCATGTTTGTTGTATTCGTTTGCAGCTCCCCAAAGCCCATGTCCCAATGGAAAAGTGGAAACGGGACATCAGCCGTTCATTTCAGCAGAGAAATGAGAAAAAAGGTGACAAGGGATCCACTAGCCCCAATCCTTTTAAGATGGAAATACAGAGGGTGGTTTCTGCCTGGTTTTACAACAAGGGACCAGATCCTCTGTAGGCGTAGGTCAGCACAGCTCTGTGGATGTCAATGAGCCACCCTCATTGACACCAGCTGCGGATCTGGCCAAAGGACTGTTCCTGTCTTGGAAATGACCCAGGGTCTGGGAAGAATGCAACAAGGTGGCCCATATCATAGAATCATACAAATGTAGGGCTGCAAAGGGATCTTGAGAGGTCATCTAGTCCAGCCCCCTGCACTGAGGCAGGACCAATAAATCTAGACCATCCCTGCAAGCATTTGTCTGATCTGTTCTTCAAAGCCTCCAATGACAAGGATTCCACAACCTCCCCTGGAAGCCTATTCCAGAGTTTAACAACCCTTATAGTTAGAAAGTTTTTCCCAATATCTAACCTAAATCTCCCTTGCTGCAGATTAAGCCCATTATTACCTGTCCTACCTTCAGTGGACAGGGAGTACAATTGATCTCTGTTCTCTTTATAACAGCTCTTAACAATTTGAAGATCATCAGGTGCACCCCCCTTCCCTCAGCCTTCTTTTCTCAAGACCAATACTATGTCTACACTTAAAATGCTACAGTGGCACAGCTGTAGTGCTTCGGTTTAAACACTATCTACAATGACTAGAGGAGTCTCCTGTCGCTGTAGTAAATCCACCTCCCTGAGAGAGGATAGCTAGGTCAAGGGAAGGATTCGTTCGTTGACCTAGTGCTGGTCTACATCTGGGGTTAGGTTGGCTTAACTATATTGCTCAGGGGTGTGGATTTGTCACACCCCTACGCAATGTAGCTGGGTCAACCTAATTTTTCAGCGTAGACCAGCCTGAAACATGCAGGTTTCCTCATAAAAGGTTTAGAAAAACCTGACCTATCATTTTCCTTGCTCTCCTCTGGAATCTCTCCAGTTTATCCACATCTTTCCTAAAATGTGGCACCCACAGCTGTTCACATGACTCCATCTGAAGCCTCACCAGTGCCAAGTAGAGCAGAACAGTTACCTCCTCCATGGTTTGCATATGGCATTCCTGTTAATACACCCCAGAAACATATTAGCCTTTTTCCCAACTGCATCACATGGTTAACTGATATTCAATTTGTGCTCCACTGTAACCCCCAAATCCAGCAGCATTACCACGTAGCCAGTCATTTCCCATTTTGTAGCTGTGCATTTGATTTATCCTTCCTAAGCGTAGTACTTTGTGCTTCTCTTTACTGAATTTCATCTTGTTGATTTCAGATGAATTCTCCAAATTGGCAAGGTGACTTTGAATTCTAATCCTGTCCTCCAAAGTGCTCGCAACCCAGCCATGGTGTCATCCACAGATTTCATAAGGCACTTCATCCACTTCAGTATCCAAGTCATTAATGAAAATATTAACTGGTACTGGACCCAAGACTGACTCCTATGATATGCCCACCCAGTTTGACAGCAAGCCATCAATAACTACTTTTTGAATATGGTCTTTCACCCACTATATATAGAGAGAGAGAGAGCAAGAGAGAGACAGACAAAGTTCCTCCTCTATCTTGGTGGGTCCTGCGCTTATTGGCGGATTTTCTTGCCTCAGAGATTCACCACGTGGGTTGGGGAACAGCCCAGAGACCTTCCCCTCTGGAAGAACCCACAGTCCAGGTCAATTGGGAGGTTTGGGGGGAACCCGGGCCCGCCCTCTACTCCGGGTTCCAGCCCAGGGCCCTGTGGACTGCAGCTGTCTATAGTACCTCCTGTAACAGCTGCATGACAGCTACAACTCCCTTGGCTACTTCCCCATGGCCTCCTCCAAACACCTTCCTTATTCTCACCACAGGAGCTTCCTCCTGGTGTCTGATAACACTTGTACTCCTCAGTCCTCCAGCAGCACACCCTCTCAACTCCTTGCACCTCTTGCTCCCAGCGCCTCACACTCACACCACAAACTGAAGTGAGCTCCTTTTAAAACCCAGGTGCCCTGATTAGCCTACCTTAATTGATTCCAGCAGCTTCTTCTTAATTGGCTCCAGGTGTCCTAATTAGCCTGCCTTAACTGGTTCTAGCAGGTTCCTGATTACTCTAGTGCAGCCCCTGCTCTGGTCACTCAGGGAACAGAAAACTACTCATCCAGTGACCAGTATATTTGCCCTCTACCAGACTCCTGTACCCCACTGGTCTGGGTCTGTCACAATATATATATAGGTCCCTAAATGAGTGGGGTCACAGGGGGCCTAGATTTGCTTGTATCAGCCCTGCACACAGAGTGAATATCATAAGTGTTGCCCTAGAGACATCCATCTGTTAAGGAAAGCAACATGGATGCTATGGTCCCTCTCTCAGCTTAGTCTCCTACTGCAGCCGTTAGCCCAGACAAACTCCCCAGGACATCTCCTTCAGAAATGGCTCTTATACCTCAAAAAAGCCTATGTTAAAGAACATTAAGGTTGCAAAGTCAAGCAACCAAAAATTAGGAAATGCCAGAACTAAGGCTGGCTGTGCCACCTGAATCCTGCCCCCTTGGGCAAGTGCACCACGATACAGTCTTCAGTCTTTCCACAGGTCCTGGCCCTCATTCAGTGAACGGGTAGCTAGTTAGTATTTCTTGTTATCCTCCTGAATCAATGTGTGGCCTCAGGCCTTATGCAACACACCCCTTTCAGAATTAATTTCTTTCTGGGTGTTTCTATGGTGCTCTCAACTTCGTATCTGAGGAATTAACCAACATGAATTAATTTATCTTCACAACTTCCCTGTGAGGTGGGGGGTTATTATTGTCCCCATTTTACAACTGGGGAACTGAAGCACAGGGAGATTAGACTGTCAGTAGTATCCATTAATTTTAGTTGTTCAGCTTGGGACACCTAGGGCCCGATTTTTCCAAAGTACAGAGCATTGTCCAGCACTTCATGCATTTAAAGTACAGCTCCAGTTGACTTCAGATGTAATTGTGAGTGCCAAGAACTTCTGTAAATCTGGTTCAGGTGCCTCAGGCCAGACACCCAGAAAATGAGGAACACACAGTTGTGAGCACTTTGATTTAAAATGACTTGCTGGCCTCACACAGGAATTCTGGCAAAGGCAGGGATATAATCTAACTTTCCAGGACAGTATGCAGCTGCCTTAACCATGACACCATCTTTTCTCTTCCTAGAATAAACTGCCTCATTCACAATTCAAATTCCAGCTTCTGCCACAAATGAGGCCAGGGTCCTACAGACAACAGCAGACACTGCTGCCATGCTTAGCCAGAGAAAATCAGATTATATTGGGAGAGAAATTTATTCCATTGAGGACCAAGCTTTGAAAGAAAGGAAATTTAAAGCACATTAGAGCAAATATGACCATTCTCTCATCAGAACAGTCAATTATTTTAGAACAGTAAGATCTCAGACACTCTATTCTGCCCTGTCTACAGCTGAATCTGCACTCAGTACTCAGGGCATGAAGGGTTTCTAGATGCCTTTTACAAAAATGGAAATTCTAATATCCTGTTTTTTTTAGGCTCTGAGGACAAGATTTTCAAAGTAACCAGTGATTTTTGAAATCCTAAATTGGGACATATTGAAGGGTCCTGATTTTCAGAGGGTAGCACTTTCTGAAAATTAGGATCTTGTCAAATGTCTCAAATTAGTCAATAGTGATTTTGGGTGCCCATGTAAGTATGTATCGACAGTGGAACAGTCATTGGGCCAGAAAGCGCAACTGTGAATGGCTCTGTGGTTAGGGCACCCACCTAGGAGACTGGAGACCCCCAGTCCCAAAACCCTTGGTCAAATCACTCATTATTTATCCACAGTGGGATAGCTTCAAGAGGAGAGAGAGAGAGAAAGCCCCCTCAGAATATCCCATAGCTCAGTAGATACAGTGTTCTCCTGACAGATGGGAAGCATTGTTCAAATCTTTACTCCCCCCTCACAAAGAGAGTGGAAAGGAACCTGGGTCTCACACATCCCAGATAAGGGCTCTAACCACTACCCTAAAAGTTATAAGATAGACAACACCACTTCCTCCTCCAGCTGTTTTACGTAGCGCAAGGCAGGCACCTAACTCCCTCAAGAAACATCTTAAGTGCCTGAACTGCCTGATTCCCATTCATGGATCTCTAAGCAGAAAGGCACCTCCCTGCAGCCCGACTTAGGTGCTTTTCTCTGAGGGAAGGAAGGGGCTCACCCCAAACCCATGTCATTGGCATCTCTAATTGGATAGATAAAGCACTTCGCCACCTAGTATGCTGGCCTAACCCTAGCCGGGGGAGCCGTACCCTTTATAAGCCTAACCACATCATGGGACACTCTACCAGCCTGAGGCCTAACGCTAGCTTGTAGAGCCCTATTCCCATAGCCCTAACACTAGCCCGGGAAACCGTACAGCCCCCAGACCTAACCCCAGCTGGGATGCCCTATCCTTTCCAACCATAAACCTAACTCAGGGAGCCATACTGGCTCCAGGCCTAACCCTAGACTGGGGAGCCCTACACTTTGTGTCCCTAACCCTAGCTCAGGGAGCCCGACCAGTCTGAGAACTAATCCTAGCCCAGAGAATCCTATACTTGGTAACCCTAAACCGGGGAACCCTACAAGCTCCAGGCCCAAGTCTGCCCCTGGGATCCTTTCTAACCCAAACCCCAGCCCCCCTGCTATCCACCAAGGCCTAACCTTAGCCTGAGGAGCTCTACCAACCACAGGAATAACCCTGGCCCAGTGAACCCTACCCTTTATAACCGTCTGAGACCTACCCCTTGTAACCCTATCAGCCCTGGCCCAGACAGACCTACTCTTTTTAAGCCTAACACTAGCCCAGGAGCCCAACCCTTAGTAATGCTAAACCTAGTCTGCAGAGACCTATTAGCCACAGGCCAAACCCTAGCAGAGAGCCCTACCCTTAGTAGCCCTAATCAGGGGAGCACTACCGATCCCAGGCCTAACCCTACCCTTAGAGGCCTACTGTTTGTAACCATAACCCTAGATTGACAATCCCTACTGGCCAAAGGCCTAAACCTAGCCCAGGGATCTTTAGCTTTAGTAACCTAATCCTACTCCGGGGAACAATTGGGGAACAATTTAGACGGGGAGGGATAGCTCAGTGGTTTGAGCATTGGCCTGCTAAACCCAGGGTTGTGAATTCAATCCTAGAGGGGGCCACTTAGGGATCTGGGGCAAAATCAGTACTTGGTCCTGCTAGTGAAGGCACGGGGCTGTACTCGATGACCTTTCAAGGTCGCTTCCAGTTCTAGGAGATAGGATATCTCCATTTATTTATTTATAACCCCAACTCTAATCTAGGGAGCCAGGTGCTTTTTAACCTTACCCTATCCATGGGAAGCCTTACTGGGCCCATGCCTAAACTTAGCCTGGAGAGGACTACCATTATTTACCCTAATACTATCCCAGGGAGCCCTAACCTTAGTAACCCTAACCCAGACCAAGGAGCCCTAACAGTCTAAAGTGTTAGCTGACTCCAGGGACCCCTAGACTTGTTCATCCTAACCCTAAGACCAGGATTCCTACCAACACCAGGCCTAAACTGACTCCAGGGACCCTTACTTTTGGTCACCCTAAGCCTAGCCTGGGAAGCCCTACTCACCACAGGCCTAAACCTAGCCTGGAGAGGCCTACACATAGAAGCCTTAACCCTAGTCCAGGCAGCCCTAGCTGTAGTAAATTTAGCCCTAGTCTGGGGATCCCTATTAACTAGGGTTACCATATTTCCACAATCAAAAAAAGAGGGGGGGGGGGGGGGGGGGGGCTCTGCTCTGCTCTAGCCCTGCCCCCATCCACTCCCTCCCACTTGCCACCCCCTGACTGCCCCCCTCAGAACCCCCAACCCCCCTCCGCTTCTTGTCCCCTGACTGCCCCCTCCTGAGAACCCCCCACCCTAACTGCCCCCCTAGGATCCTACCTGTCCCCTGACTGCCCCAACCCTTATGGGTGGCAGGTTTGTAGAAATTTTGGTGGTGCCCAGAACCCCCCCCCCCACACACACACCTGCCTAAGGCTCTGGGAGGGGGGGGTTGGGTGGGGGGAGGAGGTCTAGGGTGCAGGTCCTGGGCTGGGGATTAGGGTGGAGGAGTGAAGGGTGCAGGCTCTGGGATGGAGTTTGGGTGCTGGGTGCAGGCTCCGGGCTGGGATGGGGGTGGGTGTGCAGAAGGGGGTGGGGGGTGCAGGCTCTGGGATGGAGTTTGGGGGTGGGAGAAGATGCAAAGGGAGGGGGTGCAGGCTTTGGGAGGGAGTTTGAGGGCAGGAGGAGGTGTGTGGGAAGGGGGAGGGGGTTTGGGAGGGAGTTTGGGGATAGGAGGGGGTGCAGGGGTGAGGGCTGTGGGTCTGAGGATGAGGGGTTCATGATGCAGGAGGGGGCTCAGGGATGAAGCAGAGTATTAGGAATCTCAGCCCAGCACCAACGCCCAGTTCTCAGAGAAGAGACTTCAATCAGAGTCCATGGCAGAGAGCAAACTCTCAGGCTGACCACAGAGCTCCCTTTCTCCCAAAGTTGCCTCCACACAGAAAATACTTGCATAACAGAGCAGACAAAATCATGGCAAGAACCAACGGTTGGAAACTGAAGCCAGATACATTCAAGTTAGAAATAAGGCACAAGTGTCTAACAGCAAGGGTGATTAACCATTGGAATAAGCTACCAAAGGAAGTGGTGGATTCTCCATCTTCTGCAGTCTTCAGATCAAGGCTGGAGGCCTCTCTGGAAGATCTGCTTTAATCAAACAAATGGTGTCAGACCAGATGATCTAATGGTCCCTTCTGGCCTTAAAAGTCTATGAATTTATGAAACCAAAAAACACCCCCCTTTAATCCTCCCCCCCCCCCCCCCCCCCCCAAGAGCAGCAGCCCATTGGCACACCAAGAAACACAGCCCAAGTAACAGTGACACATGGTCACCAGCCATAACATTATGTAGTTCCTTCAGGGGAGCCTCAGAGATGTAGACACAAACCAAAGTCTCTGCCCCAAAATGACTGAAATATACATGGATTGTTTTTAAATCCTGTTTTATATAGTCCATGCACTGACTGTAATGTGTGTAAACAAACCGGTATAAATGGGAGTTAAGGCTGGGTGTGTATTTTGTTCAGCAATTGTTAATATTACAGTGTCCATAAATGTCACGGCATGTGATCTATGCTGTGTAATTCACAGAGTGATTTTCCTGTGGAGATTTTGGATCTATGTCTCAAAGCTGCCTGAACTTCCAGCAAAGGAAGTTTTTAATCCAGATTTGGGATTGGGGAAAGGAGGGCACCTTGGTTAGCTCCTTCTTTGGTTTCTATTTCCACCCTAAACAACCTCCTTAGCAACACCCTCCTCAGCACCAGTCCCCAAATCTGCCTTCTCTGCGCAGAGCTACCCTCCTCCTCTTACAGCCTGTGGGCAGTCTGGGGGAAGAACAGCCACAGGATGCCCTCAGCGGTTCCAGTCTCTGACATCTCAAAACAGCTGAAGTAGGGCTGGGGATGGGCCTCCACCTGGCAAAGGGAGAGAGCTCCCAGGCTCCCTCATGGCCACTCTGTGCCCTACAGCAGTCCAGTGGCTCCTGTGGTTTTCTCAGCTGTTCGTGATGATGGAAGGGGGCGGGAGGGGTGTGTGCCTCCCCATGGGACAGTTATGATCTATAGCCCATACCTTACACTCAGACTCACTCTTCATTTCTGTCTCTCACACACACACTCTCTCTCTCTCTTCTGTCTCATGCCCCACCCAAGCGCCTCCTTAGTCTCCATCTCCCTCACACGCAGCTGCTGAAAGCAGACAGCAGGAAAGCAGAGGGATGGCAGAACAGTCCTCTCCTTTCTGGTTTAGTCACTTAGGAAACACTGCAATCCTGAGACCTCCTCTGCTGCCCTGCAGGCGGGACTCTAGAGACCTCAGCAGAGATGCACCTCCCCCACCCCTTTCTCTCAAGAGGAGAGTCGCTGATCTTTACAAGACAAAAACCCGCTCTGACATGATTTCAGCCAAGTGAAATATTTTGTATGCTGAGCTCACCCTGAAGCACTGAAGAGCACTGGCTCCGTTGGAATGATAATCAACTTTTCTTCCTCTCAAAATGAGTGGGCAAATCCCCACAAACAGATGAAATTCAAGAAGTTTCACTCTCTACATGTAATCCCTGGCAAGGACTTCCTTGCCTATTTCCTGTCTCTCTCTCTCTCAGCTCAGAACTAGCCTCCTTTCTCCTCCCCTTCCCTGTTTAAAGAAACAAGACTGTTTTGTCCCTACAGTGCTAGAACAAACAGTGCAGCAAAAAGCCTCACACGTAAAACAAATGCCTAGTAAACATCCAGCAAAAGAGAATATTAACAATATAGATGACCTAGTTCTGCAGAGATCAGCAAGTTCTGCCATGAGCTGTAAACTGTTCTCATCTCATTTACCCACATTTACCACTTTCAGATATTTAGGCCAAAATGTTCAGTGGTGGCAAGAATTAGGTACCAAAATAAAAGTGCCCAGGTTTGCAGAGTTGCTGAGCACTTACAAGTCACTCTGAAGAGAGTGGGAACCAGTATTGCCAAATCTAGAGATTTTATTGGGGAGTCTCATGGCATTTGGTGTTTTTCTTATACCCTCAGCTCCTGGAGTCCTGAAGTTACAGGAGAATCTCAGCTTCCATTTATAAAAAGTTTTTAAAACCCTCCTGGTTGTGGAGAACAGTCTGAAAACGTGACCACAGTGAATCCTAAAGACTCAGAAAACAGAAGGCAAATGAAAAGAATCACAAATGTATTTCTTGTTTAAAATCTCATGATTTGGGGGGCCTGACTCCTGACTTTTTGAACATTTGTAGTTGACAGTACTGGGGAACTGCTTTTGAAAAGTCAGGCCACTTTTAATTAGGTGCCTAAATATGGATTTAGGTGCCTAACTTCTATTCAGGGCCGGCTCCAGGCACCAGCTTCTCAAGCAGGTGCTTGGGGCGGCCGCTCCGGAGAGGGGCGGCACGTCCAGGTATTCGGCGGCAATTCGGCGGACGGTCCCTCACTCCGCCTGGGAGTGAAGGACCTCCCGCCGAATTGCCGCCGCAGATCGCGATCGCAGCTTTTTGTTTTGTTTTGGCTGCTTGGGGCGGCCAAAACCCTGGAGCCGGCCCTGCTTCTATTAGCCAAGTTTGAATATTTGGGACTAACCTCTACAGACATCATGGGGCATCTGAGGAGTGGGGGACACTGTAATAGTGCTTTGCCCAAACACTTTAAAGAAAAGGAAACAATGTCTTTTTAATACATACAGTACAGGCTCCCAAATGACTCTGCTATTGAGCTCCCTCACAATTGTAGGTAAAACCTACATCTTTATCTTGGATTTTGTACAACAATTAACCCTCTCCCTGTCCTGCACCTTTGATCTCTGCTCCTAACTGGCCATTCAGGGTTCTTAGGGGTCACCTACACCAGCTTTCTGACAGAAGCCCAGAGAAATTAAAAATCACTCTGTTATTTTGCCTGCACAAGCTTCTGAAGGTGTTGACCATAATGGATGAGAAACAAGAACCATGAAAAATAAAATTAAAAAAAAAAACTGTCTGAGAAACCATCCCTGAGGGCTCTCCTAGGCCTGGAGAATTCTTGTGCATTAGCAGAAACTATGGCAAGAAATACAGACTCTAAAGGATGGCATTTTTTCTTGGTTCATGATCTTTATTGGACTCAACAAAACTGACACAGAAACATACATCAGGGACGAACAAATGCTGGGAGATGTAATGTGGAAAATGCCAGCTTAGTTGCTGTGGAATTGTGTAAAACTACAATACTATTATAAATACACAAATAACGGTGACTGATCTGTTGTAACAGAGTGACAATTCCACTCTGGATCCGAGGATGGTTCTTGAGTCTCCATCCTTCACGTAGAGAGATTGAAAGGGGAGGTTACCAGATCTCCCATGATCCCACATCCCTCGCTTGGGCCCTGAACTGCATCCTCCCTCCCCCCACAAACCAACTACCCCCTCCAAGGTCACACCAAGCATGGAGCAAATCCAGCTCCTACTCCTGAGCCTCTCACCCTCAGGCAGGAGGGCTGGGCCTGACAATCTCTACTCAGCCCCGTACCACAGATACTGAAATATGTTGCTGGGGTCCCCCTTAAAAGGGGCAGGGTTCCCCCTCCCCACAGCCTGCTTCCTCAGCTAGTGGCAGGACAGCCAGGTCAGAGCCTCGCTGGTTCAGTGGCTCCCGCTCACCAGCCCTACCATATCTCTATGACCAGATCAGGTTTTGTGTCTTTCACAGCATTCAGCTCTGCCTGTGTTTCTTCAGTTACACTCTGATAGCCCAAGCTGTGTGGAAAACAGGGAAAGAAAAGGACATGTTAATTCTCTCTGCAGACAACATCTGAGCCCACTGCCCCTATGAAGCACCATGAGCTGCACCCACAGGATCTGTGTCACTGCCGCTGCCCGGCCTGCTGATCTCACGGCCAGCAGATACCTTTCCCTTGGGGGAGGGGAGGAGAAGCGCTGGTACAGTCTGTAGCCTGGCCTGCTCCCCCCACATCCCACTCACCCTGTGAGCTCTGGGCAGGGACAGCAATGTCCTTTCTGCACATAAAGGGCTGGATTGTGCAGCCCTTGCTCAGGGCGGGGAGCACTTATTGACACGGACAGTCCCATTGATCGCTGTGGGGCTACTCAGTGCTCACAGGCAGCAGGGGCTGCAAAATCCAGGTCACAGAATCTCCCCATGGAAGCAGCCTGATCTCAGCTCTCATTGCTGCAAGGGCTCCTAACACCCCCTCTCCACAAGGCTTCAGTAACACAGCCCTTGAAGGGGTTGAGTTTGCAGCTACTGTTGTGGGGCTGCAGATGGCTTTTCTAAGTGCTCTATCACCCGCATGCTTACTTGGATTGTCTTGAACATTCCTGTGTGTCATGGGGAGCCAGGGCAGGGAGGGGCTAGAGGTTCAAATCTGGGGCCATCTGAGAAAGGAGTTCCTGAGATACGGCCCCCGAAAAGTCATGGGATAGAAGAATCTGACATTTTTTATAACTTTTTTTGCCCACACCAGCGACTCAAACTATGGCTCTGACCCTCCCCAAATTTATAGCAATTTCTCTCAGCTAGTGCACCCCACCCACTGCCCCTTTGGAAAGCAATATTTAAGAAGCTATTCACGATAACATTCGGAACCTCAACATGCATCAGCCCAAAGTGACTGCCCAAAGAGAGTGAAATACACCTGTGGCAACTGTAGGGCTCCACTGCTAATGAGAGGCTTTGCTAGCAATCTCCTGTTGCAGTAACTGGTGGCTCAAGAAGACATGCTGTGGCTTTTGAATCAAAGTAGCACCCATGGCTGTGGTCTGCCCTGCCATTGGCAGCTTCCAGCCAACATGTGATGTGCAGGTTACTCGTGTTCTACAGAGGTTTGTTTTGCCCAGAGACCAACATTTCTGGCGTAATAGCAATATTTTAAGTTGCTCTAAATTCCACATGCAGAATCCAATTGTACTGTAGGGGTATTGGTCAAGGAAAATAGCATTAAATAACTAGAGGGAAGATGAAAGACTCTGGTATGCAGTTGTAATCATGACTCAAGCTCTTCCCCTCTTCCCTAAACAATGGGACTCAGTGTTATCAAAGAAAAGCAAGTTTGGGGGTCATTTTGTCAAGAGGTTCCTGATACACAGCCCTATGAACGGAGCGCATAACTCTTGTGGTGCAGAGTTAGGGAAAAATCTAAGGCTCTGGCCTTCATGAAACTGATAGCATGGCCTGCCCCTGAGATTAGCTATTGAACGGGACCAATGACCAGTTTAGAAATATTTCAGAGTTTACTGCCCTACATAAGCGTTAGTACCTCTGATTACAGACAGCAAGACAACAATGAGACCAGGATAGGGAGCTGAGACCAGGCATGCTCAGTGCATGGCCCAGGCCCACAAGAGCCAAAACCACACGGGGGAGAATGAGAACACCCACCCAGATGGATGGAGCAGTTCACACCTCTCATCCCTATTGTTTCCTCTCCCAGGGCTGTTCTCATTCAGCTAAGAACACTCCATCAAGAGGAATGGGCCACTCACACCTCTCTGAGCCTCCTATGTTGCAAATGAATGTTTATAGCCCCTTTCCCCATACACCAGATTAGGGGTCTGGCCTCCACAGCTCCACTCTCCTGCCTCCAGCTGGTACAGTCACTTCTCACAGCCCCACCATCCCACCTCCCTATAGCCCCTGAATCCTTACGAGGGGTTTGGAGTGGCAAGGAGTAGGGGGGAGCTTGAGTGGTGTGTAGGGTAACCCTGGGCCATAGGGTAACTCAGGCTGTGGCTGGGAGCAGCAGCACCAGTACACCGAAGGGGGCAGGGAGCAGCCTGCAAGCAGGAGGCGAGAGGCAATTGCTAAGGCTGGGTGACACAGGAGGACAATGCAGAGGGACCCCAAGGAGATCAGAGATAACAGGGCTGAGCTCAGGCCACTGCCCAGCCCTTAATTATCTGCCATGAGAAGGATGGGCCAGAAAGACACCCGGAGCCAGACCACAGCTGGCTCCCAATGACACACTTGCTGGGTGGGCTGTGTTATCAGGAACAGGGGTGACGCTGCGGACTAGACCTGAAATGATGGGTGATGAGCAGGGGGAATCCCAGCCCTTTATGGGAAACACATTACATTGATGTTATTTATTCACATTTCTTGTTTGCAGCCAGTTTGGGAGAACAGAGTGGGACAATTTTTAAAACTATTTGTTTAGGAAGTTTTAACAGGTGTATGGAAATAGCAAAGAGAAAACAATTCCAACAGTAAGCTTTTGTTTAGAGAAATATACAGTAATATTCTCATCCGATCTCTCTCTGTGATAGGGTGCTGCTCTGTTACAGAATGAGCATTCATTTTATTTTCTTTCCAGCCCTTTTGGGAGAGTAGGCGTGACAGCTGGAGTTGAGGGCAGCGTGTGCATGTGTGGGGTTGTTGTTATTGCCTTAGTAAGTAAAGTCATTGTGCTTGTAACATCAAGATATGCTGCATTTCAGGGCTGCTAGAAGCCAGTAGACTCTGTCCTCAGCTGCACCAAGTTTATACTCCGCACCGCTTGGAAGTGGAGAAATAGGCTCTAAGTGACCTTTCCCCTACTCTGATCTT